GATTATGACTTTGTATTTGATTTCATAAGCATAATCTACATAAATTAATTTGGCGAATGATTCAAATTTACAATATGACAGACTCGACTCATAAGATAACATTTCTAACCATGTTTCTGCCAAAGCTAACTGGCTGCTCTGCTCATATCACATTTATTGTATCTTCTTTCTAAACAACAATTAGGTGATGGTATGAGAAAATATTGGGACAGATTATACGAACCATAAATGAGAGGGATCGTATAAAAGGTACAAGCTCACATGGTGAACATTCCCAATGTCTAGCTTGAGCTTGATCGATCTGTCATATTTGTTGTCATCATCTTCAAGAGTGAAGGTATTTTAAATGCTCCTTGCACGAAAAGGAAAATAATAATATTAAACTATATGTTAGTTAAATAAAATCTGTACAAGTCCGATTTTATGCTTAAAATAATTCAAAAAATTTTAACCTAAGCTATTGTCAATTTTGAAAGTGACTTGATTCTAATATTCTTTCTCTTGATCCTCTCTCCTTTGTTTTTTGCTCAAAATAAAATATAAGTTTCTATAATTGGAATCCATGTGTGGGGCGGGGCACTAGTATTTGAAATTTTGTTCCCACATTTTTTTATTAAAGAGAATGGGTGATTTGAACTTAAGATCTCTTTTGAACACTAAGAAGAGAAGAACCATATGCTTTTTTTAATTTTTGTTTTTAATTTTTTATTTTTTATACAAGTGATATTTTACTTAAATCTTATCTATACTACGGAGAGGGGGATTTGAACTCGGGTGCAGAGTGGAGAACATATCTGCTCTAACCAATTTGGCTAAGTCCATATATGGTTGTTAATCATGGGCTTAATCATGTTAATTAGTTTGTAATTAATTTGTAATAACTATATGTTGTTTGAAATGCATTGGGAAGTTTGGGTTAAGAAAATTCTTTGTTGCCCTATTTTGGACTACATTCCACAAGCAAGTGTATTCACTTCTAGTTAATGTCTGTGGGAGCGAGGGACAGTTTTTAAATTCTAAACCAAACCCAACATCACCAAAACCATATTTTTGAATACGAATTCAAGCCATATTTAAAAGGGTACTCATTTTTACTCTTTTTCAATCCAGCAGGGTCCAAGGTGTGTGTATTATCTGATTGCTTTTATTAGGTCATTCTCATTGGAAAGCAATGAGATGCTTTTTGCGATCCTCTCTCTTTCTTTTGAAATTTCATTTCCTGCGTTGTTGAATATTCTTTTGCCATATTTGATAAAAGAAAAGAAAATAAAGACAAAAGAAGACAAGAAACCATTAAAGTGGCATGAAGCTTTTCATTGCAACCAATCTCTCTCTCTCTCTCTCAAGAAGTTTCTTCAAACCTAACCTTTTTATGTTTTCAGAAATACAGAGGTTCTTTTTCCATTTTTATTGTTGGGTAACTTATTTAATCTTTTATTTTTATTTTTATCACTGAATAAATAAACCATGTCCTTCCCTTTACGTACAAATTGTCATTATTCGACCAAGCTTGTAATAAAGTCTAAAAGAGTGTGGTAGAAGTGAAGTTCATTATTATTAAACGAAGAAAAATAAAATGGAAGGAAGAAATACACTGGGTCCTGGGAAGTTGACGACTCCAATCATGATTAAAAACAGTAATCACACAAGCCGAAGTGTGATGCCCACCTGTGAAACAAGAAAAGTCACGGGAGAAATTATTGTATGATGTACTGGAATGCGGCCAGATGGTGTTATTAATTCGTATATTATAATATAAGTGGACAATATGTTTATACTTGGCGTAAAAGTGCTCGGTTTTAGTCTTCGGAGTCAGATTCATCAACTAGCTCTTGTCGGATTTATGCTCTCAAACTATTCTTGGTCAGTTTGCACTAAAACTATGGGTTTAGGTAGTCATGGATGCATTTTGTAGGGTCGGTCATGGCTACTTTGTTCCCTCTTTTTCTTTGTGCGGAACAAGGAAAAGTCGAATTGTAAAAGCCCAACGTTTTAGTGAGAGCCGCATTTCAATGCTACAAACGATAAGCATCCAGTGAGATTTTCTTATGTATATTGTGAGAAGTTTCTTAAAGCACATTTTAGGTACCTGTCAATCTTTATGAAAGAAAATATGCTCCACATGCAATTAGAATCATTCATCAAGACAAATTTTCAGAAACAAAAGCATTGCAAGGAATATTTCAACTCATCCATAGCAAACTTGAATCGTTCATAACGGCAAATTTTCGGAAACAAAACAAAAGCCTCGCGAGGAACATTTAAACTCATCCATACAAACTTGGAAGTTCCAAGGGATTGATTTCTTTCAGCTTTCAAGTTGCAGTTAGTTGAATATCACAACCGTGGTTCACAACAAGAGAAACATACTACTAAATTACTAATATCATTTGCAAAGGGCCCAAAGTCAAGAAAATTAAGATCAGCTAAATATTACAAAGATCCATCTAGTATTACATTTGAAGAAGAACCCGCTAATCAATCCCCACTGGCACAACCCTTACAGCCACAATGCACACACTCTATAACCTTCTCCTCCCTCAGATGCTTGGGCACACGACACACACATGTTGTGGCAAAGTTATGATCGCGAGGCTGCATGCATCTTAAACAGCAGAGGCGTTCATAACCAGGCTGCATTTCAAACACAAACCATATGTCATCATACGTGATTAGATTTGAGTTATAATATAATAGATTTAATAAAAAGACACAAGGCACACGAGCTTGCAATATTTTCCTTATATATTCAATATACAGTCACTGTTATCCAATAGTTTTACATGCAAGTTACAACCTGCAATTAAGAATGTGATTCCAATACATGTAGCATGAGAATTTCAAAATCAACTCCATCAGTATTTCTCTTGCAATTGCTAATTTTCCAACAAAGCTATGTTTATTCCAATTTCTGCATCTTAAACATTCATGCTTATGTTCTTTCAACCTTATTTAAACGTTTTTCATGATATAAAAATAAAAAAAAAAAAAAAAAAAAAAAAAAAAAAACAACTTATTTCCAAGTTTTGATGTATCATGCAGTAAGCTTCATACACAAATAAACCAAATTTAAATAAACTACAATAAAATAAATAAAAACAAGCAGCAGATGAAGATATTAGAGATTCTGAGACAAACCTTTTTCCATTTTGCAATTAGATTGCGGTCAGCATAGCCTTGGTCCAGACAGAACTCGTACAACTCCTTGGATATCTCATTTCTCCGATGGTACAGGTCAAAAATGTAGCGGCTCTTTTGATGTGCTATTTTGAAGATCGGCCACAAGGTCTCACATTTCCTCTTACCATCATGAGTATCATTCTCAGCTGTCCAAAAGATAAAGGGAATATACGTTTTAGTATCCTTTTGCGTTCTTAAACATATTAATTTTTTGAATTCAGTGGACAATGTAATAAAAACATGGAAGATTTATACCTTCTCTCATCTTTGCTTGTAGCTCGCGAATAGTTGGCTCAATCAGTTCCCAACCTTCTGGGTATTTGACTCGGTTGGTCTTCACCTTAGGCATTTTCTACCTGTCATCAGTGGAAACATATGATGAATTAATAGTCTATAAATTCCAAAGGCGCCTTCCACATTTAAGCAGCACATCTTTCCCACAAGTTAGTAGAAATACATTTTCCTCAATGCATCATGCAAAAAGAACAATCAATCATTTGCAAGTTCCACAACATATAAGACAGTATATGCCACAATCTGTATTTCTTTCATATCTATTCATTATATACAGAATCACACAAACTCAAATACCCAACAATTACCAAACATATAAATCAGCCCAAGTGGAGTAATGTGATATATATATATATATATATATGAACCATCAATCATAGTGGAAGGGTAAGTATATCAAAAGATGCAGGAATAAAAGAAAAATTCCCATTGTTGAAAACAAGATGCCACAACTCTGAATAGCAGTTGTGTAAAAATAACTAGCTTTCATGGCAGAAAAGAAAAAGGAAAAGAAAAAGAAAAAAAGTAGGGGCAAGCTATTCATGCATAGCATGAATTAAATGTAAAACCCAAAATCTCACAAGAGATATAAAACCCAGGACTGCAACTAAAGACGTACTACCTACGTAGTAAGCAAGCGGGGAGAAAAAAAAAAAAAAAAAAAAAAAAAAAAAGTGCTCGTCGTCGCTCACAGATCAATAATCCAAACCCTAAATCCTTAACTAAATCCTTAATTTAATAAACCACTATTTTAAATTCAGAAAAATTCATATACTTTAGAAATTGAAACAACCTAAAAGAGAAAAATCTCGAAATCACAAGCACAAACTCACATAATTTTATTTCGCAACAGTTGTGTTACGTACCTGACGGAGAGAAGAGAAGGCTGTGGAGACGATGGCGTTGTGGCGGGAACTGAGGCAGGCTGAGCAGAAGGAAAGAGGCCCTAGACTAGAGAATTTGCCCAACTTTATTTCCGTTAATTTTCTTTTATTTCAAATAGAAATCCATCTCCGACCAAAAGTAGAAAAAAACAAAAATAGAAAACCCAATCCAAAAGGGTCAATCCATGAAGCCCAACCCGTAGACGACATGTCGTTCACGGCCCAACATTCTGATTGAAATTTAAAAGCCCAACCGTATCTACTCAATTATGGATTATTTTGTTTATTAACAGGAGAGTAAAATTCGGACTTGAGATATATTTCAATATTGGAAAAAGAAGTATCACTACTTATTAGTTTGTTGAACTTGACTATTTCTAAAAAGTAGGACTATCTATTTTGGGTTTCGGGTTATGTGTATTTTTAGCAAATTTTGCACTATGAAAGTTGGTGGATGACTAGATTTGCTGCATTTGATCAAACTATTAATTGATGGAATGAAGTTGGCTCGGTTATTTGTGCTTCTCAAACTGATAATTTGATTGAATTGACTCTAGGTTTTTAATTGGGTCATAATGCATCTAATTGTATATTTTACAGAAGAAATCTATCATGTTCATCACCACCACCACATGTTGTTCACTAGAGTCTTTCCTTCACCACTGTTCTAGTGACAGTGCTGCTGTTCCATACCAGTACAAGTGTTTCCTTGTGGACTTGCCGCCTCCTAGGAGCCTTAACAAATGAAACCTTGAGGCCCTTCTGAAGCTTGCATTTTGCGATCTTGAGAGTACTTAAGAAATGCCTATCTCCATACTGTACCAAACAAAATGGATTAGGCCATCTTAACCCTTTCGGTTGTTTCGAAACAAACACCGAGCAAAAATCGGTCATAATGTGTGTGTGTGTGCGTGCGTGCAAGGGAGATTTTTCTTAACTTACATTTGGAATGTCGAAATCACCTTCAGCTGCATCACAAAAGTCCAGCGACACTTTCCTAAGCATTGGCAACTGCATTCAACATGTAAGGCACACAGTCATTATTAACTTATTACCCGTTAAACTTGATTCATGAAGTTGAATACACCTGAAAACAAGAACAGTGGTATTACTATTACCTTCGAAGCGGCATCAAAAATAAAGCTTCTCTGCAACCCAGGACCCTGTATAATATGGATCAACATATAAGTAGTGGATGGTATACCATGTTGCAATTGCAAAATAAGTAGTGGCGGCATAACGTTAAGGTATTAACTATTGTCATTAAAAGGTCATTAAAATCTCACATTATGACGCAGCAAGAGATCTTCAAGAGCTTTACAGTCGAGAAGAGAAGAAACCCCCATTGTTGTTACTCTTCCACACTCCTAAACATCAAAACCGATCACATTTGTAAACATACATGCCACACTGATAATTATGCATCAAATTAAACCAATCGTTGACACATATAAGAACAAGAATAATATGTAGATCTTTACAATTTCTTCACACAGCCAAAGAAAGAAGATGAAGGAGACACTTTATATAGCAAAACCATGCTAGTCATGCTTCCACTTATTATCATAAAACGTACAGAAGAACCAACAAAACTCTCATAACCAGCCATTAGAAAATTGAAAATGGCAAACCTCAAGATGGATAGACACCAAGCCTGGCCATCCTTGCGAAATTATTTGTTGAGACTCTGCAAACAAGACAGAACAGCAAGGTAAATGGCATATCAATTATCTTCCGGTTCCTTGAAAAAATAAAAGTAGCTACTATTATCAATTGATCTAGAGGTACAACAACACACAGATAAGACAAGGAAAGGAAATCCCCGTAACATGCTAGAAAGAAACCAAGAACAAGGGCTCCTTGTTATTGAGAAATTGGATCATGACTTAGATATGACTAAGGAAGTGTCTACATGCTAGGCTCAAATGATACCCTTTGAAATAAATAACTCCTAACCTGAATCCAGAAGCGTACACCCTAGCAGCGAAAGCTCAACAAGATTTGCACAGCTTTGAGTAAGAATAAACAAATCATTGTTGTTCATCCAAGGGGTCACCCGCTCAAGCTTTAACTTCCTCAGGTTAGGCATAGGAAATTTAAAGCTTAAAATAGATATATCACCAAGACAGTGACAGAAAGCCAAAACTACCAACTTCTTCAGGTTTGCCATAATGTTCATAATGGTTCTATCAGATATTACCTGTAAAAGAACTGAAATCATTTTACAAATGACAGTATTTTATATTCTTATGTATATTTTGATGCAAGAGAAACATATATTTTTGAAATTAAAAGAAGAAGAAACAGAATTCTAATTCAGTGAATTCTAGAATGACCAACATGAATATACCCAACGAGACAACAGTTGACACATACTGATCGGATCATATAAGATCTTATCTGATAAGATTCTGAAGTAAATCCACAAATAGGGTCTGAATATAACTAGTCTCACTAGAAGATATCCCAATAGGTCATAACGAAGAGCCTGCTAAAGTACAAAGTTCATCAAGATCTATAGGGTAAGTATATCTCTTGCAAAATTCATACTTCAAAAATAATTATCCCAAAATCAAGATCATATGAGCATTCTATATTCCTGATGTCACAGCTAATGGATGTATAACAGAATAAACCACAGGGGAAGTCATAGTTATCGCCTACAATTATCTCCAAATCCACTATCACGAATACCTGAAAATAAAGAATAATCGACTCTAGCATAGGACAAATAGTTGGTAGTTTCCTCAGTCCATCTTCACCTAACAATCCACCTAAGCCCACAGTTATTTTCCTCAGTGATGTGATTGCAGGTTTCAGAGCTTCCAAAGAGGTGTAAGAAAATCCCCATCCAAGTGCAATTTCTTCCAACATGCAAGTTCTTCCTATTTCATTATGCAGTTCTCTGCAAGAATAGGAGATAGAAAATTCTCTCTTTTGAGGATCACTTTCCTGTTGAGATAAATTCCTACAGCCCCTTGCTTTCAGACACTTTAAACCTGGATTTCCACTGACAAGATAAGCTACAGCAGCATTTGAAACCTGAAATTTACAAGCCAATAATTACCAGAGTTGCAATGACAATAGGGACATAGATGATTGCCTGTTTTTGTTTAGTCAGCTGTGTCATCCAAACTCAATGTCTTATACCCATAACCAAATTCACTGGATTTTAAAAATATTACTATATGAAAATCCTTCTGTTGATTCTCCAATGATATAAAGTTTATAAACAAGAGATGCAAGAAGCAGTGTGTTGTCTATCTTATTACTCACAAGGATTATGTGCAAGGCCAATTGACTTGATAGATGCATAAGAATCCTTAGGGGCATACAGATTATAGTTGTAGGTTTAATTTACCCATTAAAGGAACATAGCCATGAAACTAATAAATTTGATGAAATATGTAGGGGTGGAGGACTAGGTTCCGATAAATTTGATGACTCACCATAGTATTAGAAATATCAAGCACCTCCAAGGAAGAACCTCTGAAACTATATAAAGCACCATCAGAAAGGTGAGTATCACTTAAACAAAGACTCTTCAGCTTTTGCATTTGAGACATAAGCTTTAGAAGAGATGTTTCGTCAACACCTGAGGAAAAAAAATGTGATCATACAAGTGTTCCGGTGAAATTTTAGGCATTTAAATTCCTAGGTCCATTAAAAAATGAAATTCATGCAACTTAGAAGCCATGATTTCAACTGACTGGAGTTGTTGCACAACCATTTCTCAACTTCTTAGGTCTAACTTTTGTCAAATCATCATTAAATGCAATCTTTTCAGCACAGAGAACAGAAATTGTGTAACTGGTCAATGGTGAGAAATTATATTTCATATTACAACAGATATCAGAAAGAGAAAGGCAAAGGGGCATATTACTAACCTAAAGTAACGAATAGCAAGTGAGTTAAGTTAATTTTTTGTCAAGCAAATGCCAAGTACTTCCAACAGTTCAAAGTTCTTTGTCTCTCAGGTTTTGTTTGTTGTATATGGAAGTAAAAGTAGTAGGTAGAGAAGCTATTCATATAATTTGCTGTGAACTATATAGATGAATGGTGCCCTATACAAAACCCTAGCATTTCTGCCTGTCAAAAGAAACACAAAAAGGAAACATGTGTTTATTACTTTATTCATGCCCTTTGGCATCATTTTTGAAGTAGGGGAGAATGAGAATGTTCATGAAAATAAGTCTTCGAATCATAAAATTCGAAAACAAGAATAACAAGGGAAATGGCACTCACACTTGCAGCTGCCCATATGAAGTATTTGAAGATTAAGTGCCAGGGAATCCAAAAGCTCATTTTCAATTTGTTCGACAGCAATATGATTAGAGGAGCTAGAGCAAAGAGCTAAAACTGAATTTATCCCGAAAGAGGTATCACAAACTAAAACAGAATGTAGCTTAATACATCTGCGTAAAAGACTTGCTATGCCAACATCAGTTAATGAAGTACACCCCTTGAGGTTTACGTATTGCAAGGAGACACAGAATCTGGAGATATACTGGAGATCTGAATCTGTAATAAGCATAATAAGGAAGAGTTAGTGGGCCAACCAATGATGCAAAATCGGGCGACAACATAAAACGGAAAAATAAGTATCTCCCAATTATATGCTGCATGTGTGTGCAACTATGCATTCACAATATTGAACCTTTCCTTGGCTAGTTAAATGTCAACGAAAAATACTCAAAATAAGAAATCCAATACTTAGATACTATTCACTATTGCAGCAGTCATATATCAGTGAATGCTGTCATCAATAGCATGCTTTAGATAAGCCAAAAATTCCCTTTTATGGACTTTTACAATGAACTCTTGCCTTATATGCAATAGAATGGGAAACATTTTCCCATAACTTTGTCCAAAAGTTTAACAAATGACAGTGACACTGCCAATCCCATCAGAGCGTATGCCAAACTATCTTTTTGAGGTATGAAGCACTAATGACTCTATTCAATGCAAGTCTGGAAAAGTTATTGAAAACTATCTCACCATAGAGATCATTTCGGCCCTCCAATGTGAGTTTTGCTATCGATAGTCCAGAGTTGTAAAAAGAAGTCATATCCCGAACATTTAAGGACAAATTTGATATTTGTGGTGTTATAGCTGGACTTGAGGATACAATGGACACTTGTGATGATATAATTGGACTAGTGTCAGTGGTTAAGTCAACTTCACAGACCATAGGGCATTTCCGCACCAGTTTGCGCAAAGTGCTTATCTTGAATTTCAAAAGAAAAGCTGCCTTCAGTATTCTTAAAGATGGAAATGATTTGCGGAAGCACTCAATGGCAGATTGAAGATGCAACCTTGGGCACTTGGAAATATCCACCTCTTGTACTGCTTCAAAAGACAAAGTCGGCAACAAATTCAGTACTTCCGAACATTGATCTCTGTCGAGACGTTCAAGGTTGAATGGTGACTGCCCAATACCCCTTAGTATGTAGTCGATACTGTTTGCAGAAGGAAGCAAAGACAAAAGTAGCACCGCTGACGTTATCTGTGAACAACTTGAAAGGTTTACTCTCTGCACAAAGAGAAAAGACTTGAGTTATGCAATCATGAACACTGGGCAGTAGGACCCTGAGATAAGCATGCTACATTGGGAAACTATTTGCCAATACTGTTTGCCAAAAGTTACAGATATTAGAGAACTATATACCGCAAGGATCTATGCTTTATCCTGTATTTAATAAATCAATAGTTTCACAACATAAATACCTCTCTCCTTTTTCCTAATAATTCAAAGTTTGTGTAGTCTTCGCACTGCATGCTAGAATTTAAACACCCCTATAACCTCCCTTAATTGTGCTGTGTAAAGCACTTAGCACTATTGCCTTCCTTCATCTGAAAGACCTTTTTATAACCTTTCATACCACTGAACCCAGAAATGAGATTGAATCCACTACAAATGGAGATGGAAATACAAAAGAAAACAAGTCCTATTTGTTATTCCCCCTTCCAGAACGTAGGTTTTGCGAAAACACCAAAATGCTATTTATTTATTTTCCATTGTATGATGTATCTTCAGTCACATGAACCCTCCTTAAAAAAATCAAAACAAAAGTTCAAAACCTTTGCCAAATTGCCTTTTGTGGTCTTTGTGGAGATAGTGACAGGACTACCTTAGAAAATTTTGTCAGCCGAATGCGTAAATCATGCAAGTGACTAGCTCCTAAGGCATCTACTGAGCCAGTGGATGGAATTCTCAGTAGTCTGAAAATTGAATCAATGCTCTCGTCAGCAAACTTAGAAAAATGACAAGAACTTCTTTTCTCTGAAAAAATAACCCAATCAGTTTATGTAATTAATGGATAGGACAAAGGCAATGAGTATGTATTAATGCCCTATGTCTAACATCAGAAAATTAAGCATACCTGCAGCAAACCACAACGGCAAAAGGCTTAAACGGATCTGTTTAACAGCAATAACAGAACAATTAATAGAAATATTAGACAAATAAATAATTCCTGATAAGGCATACATAGAATCACCCAGATTACAATTTCAGATTTTCGGTTTATGAATAGATAAAATTAAAAAATTAATGCTACTGGAAACGACCTAAATCATCATTTACTTAGGTTTTTACCTAACATATAAACTCCAGAAAGCAAATTTACAGACAATAAACAGAAACAAGTTCAAGGTGCAAAGACAGACGAGGTACCTTTAAGATTAACTAAATAATGGACACATACATTACCGAACAAATCCCCAACATATTTAATTACAAAAATATGAGGGATCAATTTGGTAGCACAATTAATGAACTTTTATAATATTGCATGTCCCAACTCAACATGTGAATAAACACATTACATGCAGGCTACAAAATCAGCTGTCAAATTTGTTATACCTCACATGACTGTGTTTTCCTAAAACTAGTACGGAGTTATGTTCACGGTTTAAGATCATGGACTGTAATATAATAATGGCAGTATGAGATACTAGGTAAACAAGTCACCTTCTCAGGATCTATATTCTATTCGTCCTCATTATATACACTGGAACATTTTCAATCTGTACCTGTTTCAAAATGCCAGTGCAGACATCTTCATTTCTGCTCAAGCCTTCCATGCATTCTGTGTTAGCATCGATCCAAACTAGAAGTGCATTGGAAAGATGCATCTCACTGTAAAAGACCACTAAGAGTCTAAGATATCAGTGTGCCAAGATATCTTACAGAAAATTTAACTAGGTCAGTCCAAGGATAAGTGACCTGTCTACTGTCAAATTCATGTGCTTCACGCAAGATAGTAATAAGTCGTATGGAATATCTACAAAACAATTCATAGATATGGCCCACATCTGGAAAACCAAACAATAATCGGTCAGCTTCACGTAGTTAATAGGTTGAGCACAGTGAAAACAAATATTGCACAAAGCACAGAATTCATCAGCCTGTATACGAGTCCCTAGGATCTGATGCAACTTAATTGATAACAATCTCCTATTCAACCATTAACAACAACCTGATTGTAAAGAAATATATGGAGGCATATGTTTTCAGTTTAACCAAGATTAGTAGCCACAAATCCATGTGTGCATGTGTGCATGTGTGCATGTGCCACGTGGTCAGGAGACTATTAGGTCAACGTCATGGTGCTCTTTGATGTGTTTCATTATGCTAAAATCATATCCTCCATTACATCCTCAGTAATCATGTCAATTCTCTTTGCCTCTACCCATTCCCCTCTTGGGCTCACTTAAGCTCTTATATCCTTCTCATTTCCTAGCCATCTCTAACAAAACCCTCTTTTTTCTTTTAGACCTTGCAAGTGCAATATTATGACTAAACACAAACGTTGGCAGTCAAGAGAAAACCCAACCAAAACAATCTAAAGTGATATCATATGGAATATCAACTAAAATGGTGCCTCACAATAAAAAATAATTTTCTACTCCATATCAAGTCAATATGAATCTACAACCCGCCACTATCCTCTATGTGTGAGTTAATACTGAAGCATAATTCTATTTTCAACAATTAATCTGATAGTGCACAAGTCACTACTACGAAAAATTGGGCACAAGAAGGCTGCAGAGAATATAAATACAAGTTGAGGACATACAAAATTTCTCGCAAGATAGCTCCCACATAATTCTGGAAGAAAATCACGGGCTGCAATCCATTCCAATTTAATCTATTAGACTAGACACCACTAATTTTAAATACGAGTCTTTCATACACATTGCTGTTCTAATCATTCTCACCATGCTCTAAACCAAAGCTCCAAATAGAAATCAAATCATCCAATTGTACTTGTGGTGGCACCTCCGTTGATACTACCTCAGAAAACCAAGTTTTGCATCTCATGAGAAGCATCTCCACTCCAAAATAAAGTGCACCCTGAAAACGTAACACAGTATTGTCAAAGGAATATTAACTTTGTAAAACATTTTATGTGATTTAAAGGCAGATGCGTTCAAACTAGAACTAGAAGTTAACAAATAAGTAAACGAAGAATAGAAAAGAACACACTGGGTCAGAATTACCATACAGTATAGTTAATTCATTTACCTCATAAAGCGGGAGGAAATTATTAGATGTTACATCCAATGGGCAGTCATATATACAATTGAGAATGTGTAGAAATGCTTCCAGGTTCCACTCAATTGCTATACAGTCCAGGCCTGATTCACTACAAAAAGTTCTCAACAATTTAGCCAGAAGCAATTAAACAAAATTGATTAGAATAAAAATGTAGGGGATGATAAAATATCCAAATTCAAGAAAAATAAAACTTGTTCATTTCTTCGAAGAATCATAATCTACATTGAAAAAAGCACAACTTCAAGTTCCGGGCTTCGTTGAATTCAGTTTCACAAGAAGAAAGTGATCGAAATTGATTACCTGAAGCTCCCGCTTAGGAGGCCATTGAAATACGATGAGTGTTGAATTAGCCTGCAAGCAAAGATGGAAATTGATTCTCCCTCATTGTATTTTCCCGGGAAACAAACGGAAAAGAGTGACAAAATGATAAGCCACCACGCACCTGTTCCGATGGGCTTGAACTTTGACTGTTTGGTGACAGAGAATTGATGGCAAATCCCAGCTTGGGATATTCGTGACTGAAATTAGAATCTCTATATCGGTGCTGGTGGTGTTTGCTTGAATTGGATTGGGGTTACTGCATACGACGGTGATGAAGTCGTCGTCTGAAGTTGAAGAAGCCATGCTCTGGTTTTCCGACACTCCGTCTGTAAGACAATATGCAGAAGTTTACAACTTTGTTCATGGAGTCACGAGCTTCTTCTGCCTTTTTTAAATTTAATTTCTAATGGAAAAGATGTTTATTTATTTAAATATTAATATATTCAAAGAGTATAGCCAATCAGTTAATCCTTTTAAAATTTAACAATAAATTCATATTTAACATACCTCATCAGTTAATTTAATAAAAAAGTTTTTATATTATTATCTATATATATAAAGCAAAAGGCAGAGAACGGTGAAACATTCAAAATACTATAAAATGTCATTGGTTAATCCAAACATTAAGAATTAAAATTATTAATTAAATGAAGATAATATAGTAAATTCACACTTTTTCATATTTTAAAAAAATTAAAATTAAAAGAAAATCAGATAATGAATCCTATTTTTATGGAACACAAATTTTTTTAATTCTAAAATAAATTTACATTTTTTTAAAACAAGCCTCTTACAAGCGCAGAAGCGCGTGCGAAGAGACTAGTTTTATATAATGAGGAAGAATCAATAAAACAATAAAAAGTAATAACAAATAAGTCGCATTTCCTCCTCAACTTGTCGACGTAGCCATGAAAAGAAACCATCTGATATTGAGAGGAATGAGTGGGAGAAAAGAAGCCATGAAAGGTCCTCTACCTGCGTTAGCGTTGCTATTAGAAAAGAAATCAACATGATTTTCATAATTCCAGACATATTTTTTGAAAGCTAATTCATTTGTTTATGCATCTTTCATGAACAATATATATAAGTTTAGGGTTAATTTTACTGATACAAAACTCTTTTAACAAGAACGTTTCAATGGAAGGAATAATTTTTTTTTATTGTGTTAAAAATAAAGAACTGTTTTTAGAAATTAAAGGTGACTTTTGGTGAAGTATATTTACTAGTTAATTTGTTCATGAATAATACTAACAGTGATTAGTTAGACGCCTAATGGTTTAACAAGGTATTGCTAACATGTTTGAGCTCCCACATTGGAACACTAGATATCCTAGGAGGTCTTTATAAAACTTACTCTCGGAAATAGAATATAATGTATTGACTATGCAAGTAGCCCAATTAAGTGACTTGTGGGGATGGCCATTTCATAAATGCATAATGTTTAATTAATATATTTAATTAATCAAAAAGATGGGCCTTGGCCCTTGGGAATGTTTTATGCATGTAATTTTTACAAACTTTTCAAAAAGAGAGAAAAAAAAATAGTACAGCCGGGCGGCTGTACTTATTTTGGACACGTGGCCTTAATAGGTCGAGGTTCTAAATTTTAAAAAAGAAAAAATGGAGTACGGCCGCACGGCTATACTCCATGTTTTCAATTTTGTTGCAAAAAAGACGTGTTGGCACGTCGGGTCTAATGGGTGGGGGTCCCCTTTTTTTTAGATTTAAAAATAGTACAGCCGTACGGCTATACAATTTGGTTCTAAATTATTTAAAAAGAAAAAATGGGGTACAGCCGGACGGCTATACTCCATGTTTTTAATTTTGTTGCAATAAAGACATGTGTTGGCACGTGGAGTCTAATGGGCGGGGGTCCCTTTTTTTTTATATTTAAAAATAGTACCGCCGCACGGCTATACGATTTCCACACAGTGGCCTGTTCTGTTTTTTCTTTAGAGAATGGTATAGCCGTGCGGCTATACTCGATCCTTTTTCCAATTTTTTTAAAAAAATTTGTATGGCCGGGCAGCGTTACTGTTTTTTCTTTGTTTTATTTTTTTATATTTAAAAAATTGTCTTTAATAATAAATAGTATAGACGAGCGGGTATAGTCTTTTACATATGTATGCATACATACATATATATACGTATTTTTAAACAATACACTCGTGTTCTATACACGTCTCACGTTTTCTTTAAAAAAGCAAACATACAATAGTCATATTATACATGTACGTACGTATTTCTAATGTTTTATACATGTAATTTTTACAAACTTTTCAGTAAGACACAAAAAATTGTCACATATTATTGAATAAGAATAACATATGTTATAAAACTTATATTAAAATATCATATAGTGGAAGATTAATATCTACTTTGGATATGTTGCCTATTAAGATCTATAAGGTACAAACTAATGCAACTAAGAGGGCCCTTTTTTATTATTAAATTTTGGATTAAATAGTATAGCTGGGCAGCTATACCACGATTTTTTAATTAAAAAAAGGTATTGGGTTTTTATTATTAATTTTTTTTATTAAATCGTATAGCCATGGGGCATTCCCGAACAGACTAATGACTAACAATATGCGAGGCTGTCGTACAAATTTTTTGAAACTGATATGATACATGCGCAGCCATTACTGAAAATTTAAGAGAGTATGTACTGCTACTAATATACAGAGCTAGATATGAGTTATAGCCGGAAAGGAGGAGGTCTTTCAAGAGGTAATATAATACACAAGCAGACAGCTTCTCCTAAAAAAAGTGATTTTTCCTCTAAAATAACTCAAATTCTAGGTGGTCTCCCGTAGCTTTAAACTCCAAATACTTGGTATTCTCCTGAGCAGCAGGCATGTCTGGAACTTCAAAATCACAAAACTCGGGCAGTTCCGGTGGGATGGCACAGCGTATTAGGGCCCAATTCAGGCCCTCAAAGAAAGGATGTTGCTTAATCTCACCAGACCCTTTCTCTGATCCCAACCGATTCTCCGGCTCCTTTACCAACAGCCCTCTGATGAGATCCCTAGCCTGGAAACTAACAATTGGACCTTCTGGGAACCTTAGGCTCTGCAACACCACATTGGCTAATGTTTCCTCATTGTTGATGCCTTTAAACGGTGTTCTGCCGTATAGAAGCTCGTAAAGAAAGATTCCAAACGTCCACCAATCAACTGCAGCTCCATGACCCTCTCCTTTGATGATCTCAGGAGCCAAGTATTCATGGGTCCCAACAAAGGAATTGGACCGTGCATCAGTAGGCTCTGCCACAAGCTGTGGCAATGATCTGACTTGGGCTGCAGAGTCATTTTTGGACTTCTTTGTTTTTGCAGCAGCAGGTAAAAACCTAGGGCTGAAGCATGGGACGTCACAGGAGGGTTCCATGCAGAAGGGCTCAGCGCAGCTAGACTGTGTGCATGGACCAGACAGTTTTACACGATCAGCATCGCATGAAGGTGATTTCAAAAGAGTTGGACTGACAGTGCACCTCAGAGAAAGGTCAAAATCTGTGAGCATAATGTGACCATCTTCCCGCACAAGAATGTTTTCTGGTTTCAAATCCCGATAAACTACCCCAAGCATGTGCAAGTACTCCAAAGCAAGGAGAACTTCAGCAACATAGAACCTGAAAACACAAAGTGGCTTGAATCAGTTTGCAATGGTGCGATATGAGAAATAGATGCAGAACATAAGAATGAGCAATTATAAGAAAGATCCATTTAGCTAAGTTATCTCAGGTAAAATTCCAGCCCTAATTTAATATAGAAACAGATACTAGATTAGACGCGAATCTAATGCTCAGTTTCCCAATTGAATTACATAGTGCAATGGAAGCTCTAAAGAGCTTCCATTCACACAATAATTTATAAGAGATGACCAGGAAAAATGAGGATGTCATGTAGCAATTTCTCAAAAATAGTGTAACAATAGCATCCAAAACAAAATGCATGCCCTGATATGTATAGATCTTATTTCAAATTTTTCTACCTTGTCGCTGCTTCAGAAAAACACCTTCCCGACTGCTTCTGCCGAAGGACATGAAGATCTCCACCTGGACAATACTCCATAACTAAACATGACAGATTATCTGATGTGAATTGGGTATACAGTGTAGGGAGAAAAGGATGATCAAGCATCCTCAGTATTTCTCTTTCAGTCTGAGCCCTTGGCATCTTCTTCCTTCTAGCCAAGAACTCATTGTCCATTACCTTTATGGCAAAAAGGCAGTTCGTACTAATTAGTTCAGCAAGATATACAGTTCCTATGTCTCCACAACCAAGCTTCTTCAAAAGATTGAAGTGTCTCAAGCCCAGGACTCCATGCTGCAACCGAACGTGACGGATGGCCTCCCACCTCACATCCTTTGACATGTGAGGCTTATTGCTACAACTAGACCCACTCATATTGCTCTCATCACTCAAACTTGTACTACTACTATACTCTTGGCTACTTTTTGAGCTTTGGGAGAACTCCCCTTTTTCTTTTGATTTTGGGTTCTTTTTTGCTTTCATGATGTCAGCTCCCCCTGTATTGCCAGTCTTACTGCTGTCTAAGGTGAAGCCTGGTTTACTCGGACCTGTGTGCACATTACTTGAGTTTACTTCTGCAGTAAGACTGTTAAACTGGGGCACCAAAGAACCTTGATTTGATTGTTTGCCAGCACCTTTCAATGTACATTGGCATCTCTCACAGACCAGCTGACTTGTGCAAGGATCAAAATCAGCATCAACTTCATTATAATTACTAGAATTGCAGGCCACAGAACTTGAATCCTGCCTTATCTTCTTCTTTATGATAATCCTATTCCTGCGGGCTGGTTTTACGGAGCGGAGAGTATTTCTGGATAGTTTGCTTGTCGTATTGCCATTGACCAAACTAGATGAAGAAGGTACCGCATGCAACTTGACTTTCCGCCCTGGTTTTGCAGCTGATACCTTACTTGCTAACTTGGGTTTGGCAGTAACATTTTGAACTACTGAAGTGTTACCACTTGTAGATTTAACTTTCTCTTTCTTCCCCAGCTGCGCCTTTATTTTTGTCGGTAACATGGTTTTCACAGGAATGTTTTCAGCAAGTTCTGAAATATGGTCACTTGAAGATTCAATTTTCTCTTTCTGTCCCAGTTCTGCCTGTCTTGTTTGCACCCCAACTGTCCTTAGCATGGACGTACTTTCATTTTGCAATGTTGTGCTCCCAGAATTATTTTCTGTTTTCCCGATGGCAAATCGAGGAGAAGAATGTGCACTCTGGCTTGATGACTTCATCTTGGCCATTTGAGGATCCTCAGGCATATTATCACAAGTATTTGAAATGCTTTCTTCTGGCACCAGAGAGATCTCAACCATATTTCCCCTATTTTCACTTGAGGACGGGCCAGATGTACTGGCTTCAACTACAACTGCATTGTACAATGTCTTGATCCTCCCAGCTTCAGAGGCTCTTGAAGGACTTGTCAATTTTGATAACCGCTTCATAGCAGCCATTTCTGATGCCTTGGTAATAGAGAGTTCCCTTAACGCCTGCTTCAGAGTTGCTGGCTCTGAATTCCCAATCCCTGGTGAGCGAGACACACCCACTGTAATTGGCTTCTTCAAGGCATTCTTATATAAAGGGCTAGTGCCTGCTTGCTTCGAATTATCTGAACCCTTGGATGAAGCTTTGAGATTGATTGCCTCGAAGAGCTTATTAATATCATCTTCTAGAGAATCCTTGTATCCCAGTTTTAGAACAGGAGGCTTCCGATCTCTGTCACCCCTACTAAATCCAGAATTTGGTCTACCTATTCCATGAGAAAATTGACCTGTAGTCAGCTCGTCTGTTGCTTCAACAATTTCAGAAGTACCCGTAAATGAACCCATTTCCAGGTGGAGATTCTGATCTTTGTCACCCCTACCCAACCCAGAAGTACCAAAACGAGGAAGACTATAGTCCAGCAAGTTTATAATGATCAGCTCCTTGAGAAGCCGTTTAGGTAAAGCTTCTGAGTTATCAAGTCACAAGTTGTGACTTAGACTGTTCTGTACCATATAAAACTAAACTGCGTACATCATGCTATATGTCTTTTCACTTCGAAATATAATAAATCCATGCCCTGAAATTATCAAAAATTAATGAAAAAATATTAGTCAATCAAAGGTAGAGGTAGTTTGCTGTTTGCACTTATTTGTACAAATGGAAGTAAGGATGAGCCACTCAGTCACAAGCACAACATTACAACACTGCTTGACCAAAAATTATTAGCATTGAAAATGCTAAAATACAGTCAAAGCATCATTTCAACATCACATAAAAGTCATATCAGAAGGAAAAAAACATCAGCAAAAACAGATTTCCAATCAATATAAATGGGGTATAAAGGGTGCACCTTTGCCATAAAAATAACACATTAATCTTTACAACAAGTACCCTTTTAATAAAAAAGAACCAGACTATTCTAAAATGAAAACTTTTTTTATTTTCCTTTATTTAAATTAACAAAATACAAACAATATGAAGCTAGACCCAGTTGCCATCTTTCTAGTTTCTTCTAGTTTTTAAGTTTAATCAGTTTTTTTTTGCATAGATTTGCTTCACCCCCGCTTGCCCATCACCAAGACAAGATTCACCTCCCATTTATCCACCAAACAAATCAAACCAAATCACAAACAAAGCCAATAACTAACAATAAAATAAAAATGATTCTTTTTGTGTTAAAAAAAATAAATAAACGGAAAATGCCAAGCTTCCCTGAGCTCCTGAAGCTCCAAAATAACACGCTCCTGAAGCTCCTGGAGCTCAAATCTCAAAAAATGAGTATGCTTAAAGCAAAGCAGATCGGAGAGACGAAGATCAGTACCTGATGGAGCTTCGCCTACAAACGCATTGGGGCCAGATTTAGCGAGCAAATCTGAGGGAAGGGGAGAGATTGAAGGAATCTGAGAGAGGAGAGCGAAAAACCCTTGAAACCCTTGGGGGATGTTGTGGTGAGATGTGGAGGAAGCGAAGATGGGTGAGAGAGAGGAAAGGGGTACAGAAGACAAGCTAACAACAAAACACTATTTCACTCTTTCCATTCTGGCACTGATTATTTTGAAGGCCCTGGGCCCACCGTATATATCGTGGGTCCCATCAAAACGTGAAAATTATTTCAAAACCATCTTGGGATTATCCAAATCTCAGTCGTTTTTGTGAATTTTAGGCTGGTTTTTTATTTTTTTGTAAAAAAAGGAAAGTAAATTATATGGAGAAAGGTAATGAAGACTGTATTTTTACTGTTTTCATGTTTCTACTGTGTACCATCTTTTTACTGTTGTTATTGTACAGGTAAATTCAGCCACGTGTATAGATTTTTAAAATATATATACATTGCATAGTACATAACATGTATACATATTTGTAAGAAAGACAATATACAAATACTAATTTTCAAGGTAGAGTTTGTAACTCTAATATAATGGTTAGCCACATTTACCCCAAAACTTCAAATACTACTTCTCTAAGTACTTGGAAAACATCCCCTTTTTTACTACCTAAATATTTGTCATTCTAAAAATAATGCATGCCATAGCGAATTTATGTGTTGTTTTGACTTTTCTTTAACTGCGTGTATTGAATTATGAAATCCTGAATCTATTGCCGACTTGTTGAAGATATTTTTTCATTTTTTTGTCGTGTGCATATAGCATGTACCACGTTGTCTAATGACGACAATGCACATAATGACGCGATGATTTATAAAGCAAACTAATTTGTTTGAAAGGAAAACTACAAGTTAATGTATTTTATACAATGTAGATGTAGATAGTAGTTGTTAAGGTTGGTAGCCAGGTTGGCTCTCCCAAACTATCTATACATGAGAGTATTTGAAATACTTTAATAAAGTTCTTAGGCAAAAAGGACTTAGTCCAAATACAATGTACAAAATAAGTTCATTGAAGTATTTTTGTAAATTGATGGTTGACTTGTCACCTTTCAATAGCATAATATTGACAATGAATGAACCAAAAATTGATGGGTTACCTAACATAAAATTTATTCATCTTTTGACAAAGTTTCACAAAAACATCTATATGAGACAAAATATGGGCTATCATATTTCAACCCCCATCTCATAATTAATTTACCTGCTAATCACCTAATTACTCAACCATGATTACATTCAACAAACTTTGCTCCAGGCTGCAAGCAAAAAAGAGCCACTATAATCATTCTTTATAAAACGTAGCAAATTTAGCTAATGTGTATAGTTAAATTTCTTAAATATAACTAGATAACAAATTTACTTAAATATAATGAATTTTAGTTAATGCGTGTTGGGTATTCAAACTTCAAACCACGATCTACAAGTGAAGATATTTTTCTCCTAAGTTAGACGAGCGTCGACAAAATCTTATATTTGTATGATAAATAAATAAAGACATGGATTTCAAATTGAAATGTAAGCACTAGATTTTGCATAATTGTTGTTGAATGCAATGTCTGTCTGTTTCTCTTTAGGGCAAATAATTGAATGCGATGTCAGTGTTTTTGGCTTTTGGAGGTGTACATCGCCAGGAAACACAATTTTTCTGTACATGCTTGGTTTCTGCCGACTTCAATGCCCCACAGTGAGTCCAATAATGATCTTCTTGGAAATGAAAACGAAATTTGAAATGGGTTTCTTCCAAATACGACATGGTTGAACTTGTGCTGTGATATTGTTGGAGCCCACTCCTCATTTTGGTGTAAGATTTCATCTCCATGTAATCTAAACAAATATTTCACTTGTCCGAAAAATAAAGTATCATTTAGTTGTTAGAGTTACTCTTTATAACACTTATAATTGTTCTCGACTCTCGAGTATGTCAGCCTTTGCAGTCTGACAATATAAGAATATTTCAAACATCATAGATTCGAATACCTAACATCGAACAAAGAAAAACAATTGCATTCAATCCGTAACTTTCAACATATACATTGTATGCATACAGATGGATACAAATACACTCTATAATAATGTAATATGAAGTGAAACATTCTATTTCACATGGTATATACGCCAACTCTGCTACTTTGGCCGGTCGATAGGGATGGTTGGTGTTTGTCTTGGCCCTCAAGTTGAGGAGTTAAACATGGGAAACCATAATGACTTTATAAAGTACCCTATTAATTTGTTAATCCCGAGCCCTAGCCACCTAAAGTAAGGCAATGGCCATCAAACTTCTTTTCTTTCTTTTTTTTTTGCCTTATTTTATGCAGGTAGGGGGTCACACAAACTTTACTTTGGGATCAAAGCTTTGAATGAAAATTATGTTGAAAGCAGCCTTCTAACTTGTACAAGGCAGATGGAGTTGCCTCAAGATAATGATTTGCTTTGTACCCTTTTGCCTTTTTCTTCTTGAATATCCTTTGGTTATTTGAAATGTTTTGCTGGGGCGAGACCAGCTACGAGTTAAATATCCTACAGCTATGATTCATAGTACACTGATGTTGACTATTTTGGTCAATGAATATTGTTTTGAGCCAAGAGTTGCCTAGCACTTTAATAGACATGGAAAAGCACGCACATTAAAAATTAATAAAAAATTAAAACATGGTTGAGGTCCACTATGGGAGTTCTTATTTTCTCAAGATTTGACTGTCTATTATATTATTATTAACTATATTATTGGAATTCAAGAATATTCTTCCCTTTTTATTAACGGAAAGAGATGTTTCCAAAATAATGTGAGATAAAATTTTCAATGTGAAAAATGTGATTTTTAAGGTTTGTTTTTGTTTTTTTCTCGGTGTGAAAAAAACATGATTCTTAAATATGGGGTAAAATAGGGCAGCTGCTCAACCAAATTCATTACCATTTTAAATGGTCCTGGTTTTATGAATTTGGGTCACCTGAGCCCAATCCGAATTAAAGCATTTGAATGGACAAGTAACAGTATCATTGGGCTCAACTCAAGTTCATAGATCCAATCGGCTTAAACCAAAGCCCAAGGTACCTTCCCTTTTTTTTTCTTTTTTTTTGGTTGATACGAGTTTTGCAGAGAGGCTAGAATGAGTGGTTTTTGGTTACCCAAAAAAGGAGGGTTTTTGTGAGGGCTCATAATGAGGGGATCCTTAATAATCATTTGATCCAGTGCAAAGTTATTATTGGACTGTTAAATTGAACCCCCTCATTGTAACTCCTCAACATAGGGAAATCGAAGATAGAAATTAGGGTGTACAGGTAACTACTCTTATATAACCACTTGGGTTATAAACTTCTTGCAAAGTTAAAGGTATTAAGATCAATTTAAGATTTGTATGAATTTTTTAATTCGTTTGTATAAAAATATAAGATTCGAATATCAACTGAGTTATAAACTTCTAGACAGAGGGCTGGGCTGATTTCTAAATTACCTAAGTTGGATTGCACCTCTATTTTAAAAAATCAAGACCGGGTTGGAGTGGCTACAGCCCAAGCGTAGATCCACTCTTCATTTTTCTTGTTCTTATCTTCTTCTTTTTTTTCATGTATTGTCAAAAAAAATGGTGACAACGGATTTTAACTTTATTAATGGAATGTTAGTTGGATTGATCCATAATTTTGGTGTGTTTCCAAGTGATCCCGAGGTTCAAGCCCCCACGGTACCCGTGTGTGTGAATAACCCTCCCTCTTCCTAATTTTGACCCCAAAAAAGAAAAAAGAATTCTAACAATAATAAGAAAATATTTTCCCATACAAATAAACATTTAATTTGGAGAACCATTAATTGTTCCTATGGGAATTTTTTTTTATTAATAGAAAAACTTGATACCAAAATCTTTTAGCTCTAAGAGTACTTCTATCAATTGTGCCATGGTAAAGGGCAAGTGAGGGTAAACATTATTCACGTGAGTAGTGTCTACCCTACCCTTTTTAATTTTGCTTTCCCACCTATTGCCATGGCAAGTAAAGGCAAACACTATTTACATGAGATATGATGAGAGAAATTTGTATGGAGTTTTGGTATGAGAAGTGAAGAACATTGCTAGGTATTTATAAAAAAAAACTCATGAATGTGTTTTTTTAAATTTTTTTGGGTATTTAAATTGGTCGTTGATGTCACGTTGACATCAGCAATTCAGGCAATTTTTGCTTTTGAGTTGGCTCGGGTAAATGGGGCCCATTCTTAACCTAATCTAACCTTTAATGTTGTGGGCATTAATTCAAGACTGGGCTGCCTTTTGCTTTGTCCTGGTAAAAGTGCTCTAAGCTTGTTCCAAATGTTAGTCAAAATAGGATCAATAAGAGCGATTCCAATGGTAAGTGCAGGGGGTGGGGTTGGGCCCAAAACGCGATTCCAAAGGGCCTTTTTTGCCCTGGCAACCTGTGGGTCCCACAAAATAGGGCTGGCCCGAATGCAAAACGAGCCCTAGCTCGAGCCCGAGGAGGGATGACGTAATTGCTAACGCCAAGCTAGCATCAGCCCTTCCTTTCCGCCAACGGCTAGAAGCCACGTAGCGGCCTCTGGGCGCTTCGATCAGTTTTTCTCCTCCAATCCAATGGCTACCCTTTTTTTTTGCAATAAATTTATGGAAAAGATTTATATAAAAAAAACCCAGAAATTCATGAATTTTTTTCTATCAACAACCCATGTTTTGAAATTTGAAACAAAAAATCTTATTGAAAAATTCATTCGAGTTATGAGATATGAATTTTATAATAAATATTAACACATATGAACCCAAAAATCTTATCAGAAAATATTATCCAAATTAATTGTTTAGGTTAAAAAAATTGAAAAATGAATAGTATGTACCCTTACTTTTTGTAAGGTCTGCCACTATTTACGTGAATAGTAATAGCCCTTATCTTGCCTTGCCCTTATCTTTTATCATAACAAATGAGTGGAAGTGCTATAATGTTGCTACGAGAGGATATCACTAAAAGAGAAAAGTAGCTATGACAAATTATTATAATTATAAAAAAGTCGGTATGAGGAATTCAATATTAAAAAAGTCGCAAAAAGATAAATTTTAAAAATATATTTTTGTTTTTGGTTTATTCAGGAAGAAAACAAAATTCTGCACTAGGTAAAACGGAAGACTGTTGATTGTTAATAGAAGTGGGTCCCTGTTCTTTTGTTTGCTGCGCTGTCAAATATTTTGGTTGACCTTTTTGCAGCATTAAGATCAGATAATTTATCCGTGATTACTATTAACAAAAGATAATGATCATTATCATCACTGCTGACGTCAACGGTTTCGTTCCAGAAAAAAAGACCGTTTTCTAGCCGCTATGTGCCCGGTCGCAAATCTATTTTTTTGCTTTATCGATGTTTTTTTTTTTTCTATATATACCATATAATTAGGACAATTGTAAGTTGCCAAACATGAACCTGTGCTTCTTCTGGGCACTATACATTTTCCATTTTCCACATCAAAGCAATTAAAAAAGCATTTTTTTAGCAAGCCAACGGGAAATGGCCGTGATCGTGGGATTTCCATTTCCAACAACCTCGGATCAAATTGTGTTCATACTACATCTTGACTTGGGGAAGTTTTATACATGTCTATTATATTGTTATTGGAATGACTCATTTTAACGTTTGTGTTTTTTGTTTTCTTTATTTTTATTGATCTAATAAAATTATTTTTTTTTTATTCAAAAAAATTATGAGAAATTTATTATTCGCATACTATTCTTCAACTAAATTGATCTGTTACTTAATATAGTCACATATAAAAAATATATATATTTAGAATATTTGGGTTTGTTCTATAAATGGTGGCAAAGTGTGCAACCACTCCGAGTTGGGACCTGTTTGCGGATAAAGCTCTCCCTAGGGGGTGTTTTTCACAAGCTTGATTTTTAAACGCTGGACCTCACAAAGTATCTAACTAATATTTGAGTTTGTTTGGGAGTGTTTTTAGAAGAATTAAAATCGCTTATAATTAGATTTGACAGAACAAATTAAAAGTGTGGTTAACTAAAAATAATACTTTTAATAAAAACGCTTATGAGTATTAGTGGTTCTTATGAAGGCAGTCACAAACTATAGCTATATTGGGAGACTTCTTAAAAAAAGGAAATTCTGAAAATAACAGTATATTTTATTTAGAGACTAGAAAATTTTGGGGGTCCCGTTAACAGATCGGTTGTCGTGGCGATTGCACAGTCAGCAGAGATGAACGGCAGAGGATTCGCCACGTGGAACTATTCCGTTTACACGAGGGACATCAGAATGGTCCGTCCGGTTAGCCCAATGGTCGCCCTATAAATAGCTGACCCTCACGCAGCACACAAAACCTCATCGCGTTGTCACACTTCTCACCAGCAAAAGAGAAAACTAGTTACGGAGCAAAAGGCAAAACGAAGCAGAGGAAGCAAAATCCACTTTTTTGTCTGATCGATAGCCATCAATGGCCGCGAAGAACTTCAAGTACGTGATCCTCGGCGGTGGAGTCTCAGCTGTAAGTTTTTATGTGATCGATTCTCATCCGTTTGATCAAATTTCGTTAATTTTGTGCATTTCTTTAAGAATTTATACCAAAATGTGTATGTTCGACTTATACTGAAGTTTTCTGTCTCTGTTGATGTGACTTTACATAGTTTTTAGCTTTGGATTTTGAAGGTGTGCCTAGATCTAGTATGAATATTAGTTTTTCATTTTTCATTTTTCATTTTTTTGTACTCGACTGTTTTAGTTGCTTTAGTGTAGAATTGTGGTAATTAGGATAAATAAAATCAGTTGGTAATAATGATCAAGTGTTGAAAAATTGTTTGTGCTCTATGATAATTTTTTGCAGTATTGTGGAAGCCTCGATAACTTTTAATGCTTAATACATGTTTGTTTTCAAATATTATAGGGATATGCAGCTCGGGAGTTTGCCAAACAAGGGCTTAAGCCAGGCGAACTAGCAGTCATTTCCAAAGAGGCGGTATGTTTTCTAATGCTTTTTCATGCTCACTTTCATGTGTTTGTATCCAGTTGGCTGAAGATTGTGAGATGCTTTATGCGATTAATTGTCAATTTTTGGAAACTAGATCAAAATTGTGAGTTCTGGAAAATGTCTTGACATCTAGTATGCATGAGTGTTGCAGACTTTCTGCTTACTCTATTTTGACATCTTGCTGCATTAAACTTGGATTAAGATAATTTGCTTGCATTATTCAGTTCAATGCGCGTTGCTCGCTAGCTAACTGTGTACTTTCTGTACTTCATATTATTACTGCTGCTCCCTTTAATGGCTGTTAGACTTCAATTAAATTTTGTCATGTAATTAGTTTCTTCTTTTACTCCCAGGTCGCACCATATGAACGTCCTGCACTCAGCAAGGCTTATCTCTTCCCTGAGTGTGAGTTCTGTTATTTTAGTCCCAATTTTCCAGTGCTTACAGAAAGATACAGTGTGTCTTATGACCTCAAGCTTCTTACTTACACTGGCACATTGATGAAGACCAACCTCACTTTTTATGTTCATCACATTCTCTGAGATTGTAACTTACTGTTGGGATTGGTTCTTGCAGCTCCTGCTAGACTTCCTGGGTTTCATGTTTGTGTTGGAAGTGGAGGAGAGAGATTGCTTCCCGAGTGGTACAAAGAGAAAGGTACGTTTATCTTCTGCACAGTACAGCACCATATGCTGATCATGATTGAACAATGTCTGAAAGCTTTCTTGAAGTTTTTAGAGCCGGTTAAATCCATTATTACTCGTTTTTGTTCTGGACTCATTTTTACCTATTTTACCTGATCTTCCATTTTCTGGGTCATTTAGAGTGCATTACTCTCATCTCGTGGAAGCTTAATTTATAATTTCAGGGATAGAATTGATTCTTAGCACTGAAATAGTTAAAGTCGATCTTGCTGAGAAGACTCTTGTCAGTGGAACTGGGGAATCCTTCAAGTATCAGACTCTGGTCATTGCCACTGGATCAACTGTAAGCAACCCTAGGAATTCTTGATGCCTTGCTTTGGATAACCTGCCCACTTTGTATACATAATTAAATCCGTTTTCTGTTTTTGTAGGTTATAAGATTGACAGATTTTGGTGTCAAAGGAGCTGAAGCCAAAAACATCTTCTATTTGAGAGAAATTGATGATGCTGATAAACTCAATGAAGCAATTAAATCCAAAAAGAATGGGAAAGCCGTGATTGTTGGAGGAGGGTACATTGGTCTCGAGCTTGGTGCAGCTTTAAGAATTAACAACTTAGATGTTAAAATGGTTTACCCTGAACCATGGTGCAGTAAGTGTATTCTGCTCCAAGCCTTGTTTGTATGTTGTCTCTGTGTATATATATACACATCAAATTGGAGACTCTTTGTATTCTATGCGCCTCATTTCCCTAATTTCTTTTTTTGTTCTTGTAGTGCCTCGCCTTTTCACTTCTGGTATTGCTGCTTTCTACGAGGGTCACTATGCAAACAAAGGAATTAAAATCATCAAGGGAACAGTTGCGGTTGGATTTACTGCTAATTCAGATGGAGAGGTAAATACACAAATCACCTGCCATTTTGGTGGTGATGCTCTGATGAAACTGTGCTTCTGGATGGTGACATTTTCCCATAATGCAGGTCAAGGAAGTGCACTTAAAGGACGGCACTGTGCTTGAAGCTGACATTGTTGTTGTTGGTGTTGGGGGGAGACCCCTGACAACATTGTTCAAGGGACAAGTTGAAGAGGAGAAAGGTGGCATTAAGGTTAAGCGACTTCTGAAATCCCTTGATTCCTTCTCCCTCTCACATATATTTAAATATTCATTTTGATGCTTGGAATTTGTCTTAACATGTGCAAGTTGATTGCAGACGGATGCATTCTTCAAAACAAGTGTTCCTGATGTATATGCTGTGGGTGATGTGGCTACTTTTCCTTTGAAGTTGTACAATGAGATTAGAAGAGTTGAGCATGTTGACCATGCACGCAAATCTGCTGAGCAGGCTGTAAAGGTATGCAGCTTCCCCTTTAATTCTGTACAATTTCGACTAAGAACCCACCCTATCATTCTTTTCTGTCAAATCGGGCATGGTCTGCCCTGCCAATAGGATTGTTAAAATAACCAAGCTGGATGGTATCCATTCTTTTCTTTTTTCGGGTTGGCTGTCATCTGGGAATTATATAGTTGTCTTGATTTTGGCAGGCCATCAAGGCAAGCGAGGAGGGGAAGACAATTGAGGAGTATGACTACCTTCCCTTCTTCTATTCTCGTTCCTTCGATCTGTCATGGCAATTCTACGGCGACAATGTGGGTGAAACCGTGCTCTTCGGAGACAATAACCCTACCTCACCAAAACCCAAGTTTGGAACATACTGGATCAAAGACGGGAAAGTGGTCGGAGCATTTCTGGAGGGTGGCAGTCCTGAAGAAAACCAGGCTATTGCCAAAGTTGCCAAGGTCCAACCTCCTGTTGCCAGTTTAGATCAGCTTGCGAAAGAAGGTCTTTCTTTTGCTAGTAAGATTTAAACCTCATGTTTGGGGCAAAATAAAATGAACTGCTTGTTGCTGGAGGTGGTCTAGATAGCTTTAAAGAACAGTTCACTTTGGTTTTCTTTGAGTGTTTTCGATGTTGTAATTTCAAATTAATTACATAAATCTTATTGTTCACAGAGTCACACTTCACAGAGTTTATTCTTGTTCTTATCATTGTGAAGAGATGATGTAACTTGCTTATTGTCAATAATCATATCGTTATTCCCATATGTGTGCGAGACATTAGGTCAAAAGCATTTCGAGATGTTTCTGATTTTCTGAAATCCATTTTACTCAATGCTCTATGGAAGTATTGTCGACAAAAACTGATTGAATTTTGAATGTCTGGTTTTGTTTTTGTAAACTGATCGAATTTCGATAATTTTAGAGCTTTGCATGGAATAATAGGCTGTTGTAGCAAGTTACGCACAGAATCTTTGACCCGTTGAGGTCGAGAACTCTTGAAAGAATGTTGACAATGAAAAGTATGCATAAAATCACTTGCGTTTGCAGTCTCTTTACAACCAAATTTCATCCTCTTTAATTTTCTTCCAGCAGTTCAAATTCTATGTGTTCCGACTTTCATCGTCTCTCGATCTCCAGTAGTTGAATGCAAGCGGGCGTCAGGACATGAGACAAGCAGCCTGGAATGGAGCAGGTGAGGGGAGACCCTATAGGACCCTGCCCCACAGAATAACTCAGGCCTGCCGCTGATCGTCAAATTTTGGTATTCAGACAACCCTAGAGACAGTCTGAATTCCATATTATGACGAATGTCCTTTGAAGTCCAGAACCCTACTTCACAATGTAGTTTGAGGGAATAAAATATAGAAATCAATTCAGGTACCGAAGTCTAGAACCCTACACAAATACCCTAATCCTACTTCAATGTATCTTTTTCGGCTATGACGTTGATATGTATAAGCTTAGCAATAGACCGCCAATTGCAAGAGTGGTCAGCCAAGCAAATGCATTTCTCTGAACACAAATCAAAAGTCGGGGTATTTTCAGAAGTATTTGATAAGTATCAAGTATCATGAATAGAATTACGTGCCTAATGCAAGAATAAAAAGATGCAGGTCATTCTCTGTCAAGACAAAAGATTAATGAACTTTGATAGAAAAGTGGATTCAAAGCCACCATAATTGCATAATCTACTACATTTTAGATTGTCATAATGTCTTCTACTGGCTACGATCCAAAAACAATACACTCCATTGAAAAAAAAATCTATCCAACTCAAATAACAAAACAGTCCCTTCATGATGTAAGCATTGCAACCACTCTAGTCAAAGAGACTGAAGCCCATATCCTGCAACAACGAAAAAGCGAGAAATATAAGATCAGACTAAAATCAAATGCTCCTAACAAAATGCGATGTCTCCATGAGTGTTTGCTAATTAATCTGAGTATGTGGCATGTTGACCATTGCTCCGAAAATGTACCCTTGAGTGTGCAAACAGTCACAGCTCAGACAAAGGAAAATTATATTACTATCTATTGATTTGCCACGATCCTATTGACATGCAAACAGTTGCTGTCTAGCAAGAGAATCACATACATATGCAACTCTCAGAATTTGATGAGTTTTAAACATGAATATGTCTTAGTAGGAGCAAGGGGATTGTTATCAGCACTCAGTAACAGATGGTATTGCAAAACCCATATCCTTCTACATGCACAAATACTTAACTTAATGAGATAATCCCAAGAAAAACTTACATCATCGGTATCCTCTTTCTCCTCAACCTTCTCTTCTTTCTTTGGCTCAGCTGCAGCAGGAGCAGCGGCACCAGCACCAGCACCAGGTGCAGCCACTGCAACAGCACCACCACCAGATGGTACAGAGGCCAACTTCTCCCTTCCAGAAGCAATAAGCTCTGTAATGTCCTTACCCTTCACTTCCGAAAGAAGAAGCTGAATCCTATCATCATCAGTCTCAGCTCCAACTGCGAGCAAGATGAAAGCCTTTAACAAGTGAACAATAAAAATGAACATCTAGGCAGCTATGCACCAGCTCATATGAAATCAGACTAGAACACACGAACCACATATGCATAAGAACCAACAATTCAGACATAGTTATTAAATAGCCTCCCTCTAAAATCTGTCGCATACAGAGGACGATACGCAGACAAACAGAAAAATTGGGGAAAAGGGGTATTGTAACTTAGATGCAAGTGGTCCTTGTTAGCAGCAGTGGAATATTAGGTTATAGGTCCTTATTGCAGAAAATGAATAAGACTAGCAAAGACTAACTTTTAAAGTCGAACTTCCACTATATAACATAAGATGGGAAAAGAAATCATATTTTCATGATTCAACACTGAAAAGAACATTACCCTAAGACAAAATTCTTTGTGACCTCCAAACATTCATTTTCATGGAGGATTGAGTTGACCGATTGAATACAAACAAGGGATTTACAAATCAAGAGGTATTATCGCACTACACAACTAAGTCATAAACTTGGATGCAGTAGGTCTATTCACAGATTGAGCAAATGAAACATAGAAAAGGAAAAGCAAAAGTACCTGAGCCAAGGATGTCCTTGAGATCTTCGGCAGAAGGGGTGGTATTGCCCCCCAACACAGCCAACAAGTATGCTGCAACAACCTTCATCTCTGCCTATAAAACACAAAATTATTAATAACAATAGATATAAGAGTCAAAGACCCAGAAAGAGAGTGAGAAAGAGCGAGGGCAAGTACTTGAGAGGCTCTGGATCTGTGGAGAACGGAGAAGGGTATACGCAGCCGAATGCGAAATGAACCAAGGAGGTCTGCGATATGAGGTTTTATGCACAGCTGCTAGGGTTTTTAAGCCGACTATGGAGCTGAAGATTCTGGTTCGGGCCGGTTTAAGCAACTGTAGGCCCATTTATATTTTCTACGGTGTATTGGCGGGCTTCTAGTCCACAAGCAAACAAACTGGTCCATTTCAATTATTTTATAAATTACAAAGTGGCCCAATATCTAAACAACGGTATGCAAGGGAAACTTTATAAATAAATAAATAAAAAAGTACAAGCGATTGGGGGAGGGTGGTTTACACGAATATTGATTCAATGGGTGCCTGGGGTTTTGAACCTCTACCCACATAGGTGGAGGTAGAAGAGCTCAACTAACTGAGCTATACCTTTCTGGCTAAAGGGAAATTTTTTTATATGCAACTTATGGTGTACAACTATATGTTTATCTATACTATTACGTAATTAACGAGAGAGATGGATGCATGATTGTCTATACCCGATAATGTTAGAAATTTTTCTTGTATTCAAGAGGACTACTCTTATCTAGAGGAAGGAGGAATGATCTAGGGTGCAACGGTGCAAGGGGCGAACAAATTGACCTAGTCAATTAGCCTAACTCACATATGCTAAGTCTCGTAATATTATAATTTTCAATTGATATAAAAATTAAAAAAATTCAGGTTGGATTAGGCTTGTCCTTAAATCAGCCATGCTAAAGTGGGCTAGCAATCCATATCGTTATGAGCCCACCTTTAACCCCTAGCCTCCTTCACCGGCAACCTTGTGCCTAAGCTTAACTATTACCCATAATAACTCACCCCAACTGACCAGTCCCATTGCTGGCAGGGACGGACCCACAGTGGGGTTACTGGGGTCAAACGACCCCATGGAAGCCATGGAAATAGGCTTGGAGGTCCACTTCAGCTGGCTGTGTGACCCCTTGAGTTGCCCTCCAAGTGTTTGATGTTTTGCCTGAGAGGAAGAGGGAAGAAGCTGTGCGCAGGAGAAAGAAGACGTAGTGCAACGTGCTTATGTTTTTTTTCAAAACACCCTGGGCAAAACGACGTCGTTTTGACCCAGAAAATTTTTTAAAATAAAAAACCCTTTTGTATCCCTCCATTCTCCGAAGTTAACCTGTTTTCTTTTTAATCTTTTTAACTTGTTTTGTTGTTGGAATCAGCAAGTCAACTTTGTTCCATTTATTATTACTTCTTCCTCCCAAATTCCAATGACTGGCTTAGAAATTAGAATCCATGAGTGATGAGCTTTACTTGTAATTTTATCTAAGGATGACCAAAACATGGTTTTATCACCACTATTTAACACTTAAGAATTTCTCCATATAATTTTTTATATATATAAATAAATAAAAAACTTGTTTTTCTTCATTGTAATTAGAACAAAATGCAGTAAGTTCTAAATCTTAATATCAAAATGATGTATACTGGTTTTGATTTAATGGAAATCAAATTCATAATTGTTTGGATGAAATTTATGATTTATATGTATTGGTTTGATTTGTTGGATGAAGTTTTTGCTTATTTTTGTTGAGTAGGTGGTTGTGGTTTTTTCCTTTTTTGGTTAATTGGTAGGTTTGGTTTGAAATTTTATGAATTGAAATCACTCAAAAACATACATAAAAAAATGACAAATTGAAATCATTCAAAGTAAATTTTTTCAAGAAAGGAAAAAAATTTGGAAGAGAAAAAATAGATAAGAAAAATAACCAATTCTTAAATTTTCTTTGGAACATTTACACTATGACCCTACGGGGTTCGGATCCTGGGTCCGTCATTGATTGCTGGCATTCTTCTTCTTCTTCTTCCCCAAATCCACCCTGAATGAGTTACAGAGTGAGCTATAGGTGTGTGTCCAGTGAAAAGGATTGTTCAATTTGTAATAATGGGTTCATTTGATGAAGGTGTCACGGAGTTTTTTTAGGTCTCATCGATGACAAGGTTCTTCTTCTTCCCCCCAACACTGATCATATGAATGACAACAGCAAACCAATGATCAGGTGAAGGAAGAGGCCAAAAACCCAAATCCAAATTCCTCTGGTTAATTGGGGGATTTAATATTTGCATCCTCAGAGTCATAGTTGGCAATAGCAAACCAAAGAATTCAATGAAATTGTGTTATGAATATTGAAAATCATGTGGGAATGAATTGCTAATTATGCAATAACAGGGGAAATAGGAACTTATTTGAAGAACAGGGGAGATAGGTAGGCACTACACTACACAAACATTCAAGAGACTCAAATCTAGGGAAACACTGAAACTTGCACCATCATTTTTTTTTCATCATCTTTTGTTGATGTAGCACAAGATAGCCATAGCAGTTTGGGCCCCAGTGAGGACAAGAAGGATGAAGGCAGAGAAAACAGAGATGAACGACCATGGCTTGCTAAAATAGGTTCGCATAAAGGTAGCCCAATGGCTGCTGTAATAGGCTTCCACATCTCTGAATTGAGTGGAGAGGTAGCATTTTCTAATGTCGAACACAACTTTCTCCCCTAACTTTGTGAACAGCTCAGCTACGTTCTGATCATTCTGCGAGAAGCCAGTGATTATCCCATCTGCACAAAGGAGCGTGACGTCCCTAGTCGAATTGATGAGACAGCTCATGAAGGCAATATAAGTGGTGAAGAGCTGAGATGTGTATTGGTGGCACCGTTCAAAGGCCATGCAATTGATAAAGACAGCAATGGTGAGGTCATTGATGGTTATAGGTGGGATTTGAAGAACCCCATTTCGGAAATTAATATCTAAGAAGCTCTCGGCAGCTTTGCGTGGCCTAAACTTGATCCCGGAGGGTCTTAGTTGTGTGGTACATTGGATTGACTCCGAGGATGGACGGTAATTTTGATCAGCGTCATGATCATCATGTGGAGTTGAGGAAATGAATAACATACACAACCAAATCAATGTCTTGAGGGTAGCTTCGCATAGTACATCTGATGTACGTTGAAATATTGACTTCTTCCGTGGAGGTTCATTTGAAAATGGGGGAAGAAAGCTTAAGTGAAACAAGTCAAGCAAGTGCTTGGCCCCCCTAAGGTTGCTTGTCCTCTTAAGGACTTCGCTAGGCCTAGGCAATGTATGGTTGAAGAACTCAAGCGCAAGCAAGGTTAGAGAATGTTCAGTTCTGAAGTTGGAGATCTCGAAAAGCTTTTCAAGGACAAAGAAAGGGAGTTGGTTTTGAAGCTTGAGGAGGTCTCTAGTAAGAATTGGAATCAACCATGGCCTTGTTAAGATGGGGTGATCATCTTCATCCGCACTCATACGTTGAAAAAGCTCAATGATAAAGCACCCATCAAGCACCATCATTTCAACAAAGTCAGGGCTTGACATGGGGATCGACTCAGAATAGCGGCTTCTCGTGCTCTCCTCCAACTTTTTCATGGCTTTATAGTATTCTGGCAGCAGATCATGCCTTCTTCCGTTCGTTTCTCGACAAAGGAGCAAATTAAGAAACTGCAATTTGTAACTTTCAAATTCGAGTAACTCGTCCTTGCCGCGGTGGTAAGGTCCAATGGAAACCATTTCAGGCTCAATGGTTTCTTGAGTAGGACTGATTCCACTGAGGCTGGGAGGAACTCTATATATGCATACCGTGCTTTTTATACCACTGCTTCTTGTCTGAATTTCTTTTCTCTGCTCGTTTAGGCGCTTTCGCATAGCTGCTACAGATTCTTCGTAGTTCTTCAGGTCATCTTGATCTTCCTCACTGCTACTTGACCCTAATGCTGTGATACCATAATGCTCCATTTCCCCCATCCTCTCTTTCTCTTGCTTTGCTCCCAAGATTGTCAAGAAAAGTTGAATTTTTGTGTGCTTGGATCAGTGGAAAATTCGTCAAAAACCAATCTGTCACTCGTATGTTTCAGACAATGATGCCATGTCCAAGATTATTTATTGGCAAGGGCCATGGAGTTTCATGGAAAGTTACGAAATACTCTTGGAATGTCGTGCTCATAATTTCTTGGAACTTTTACGGAGACCAACTCATATGTTTCACAATGATGCCCTGTCCAAGATTATTTCTTGGCAAGGGCCATGGAGTTTCGTGGAAAGTTACAATATACTCTTGGAATGTAGTGCTCATAATTTCTTGAAAGAGACGGTCACAATTCTCACGTTCTTCATACTCTTGGTATTGAAATTCTGTTTCTTGAGAATGGGCAGGCCACAACATAGGCCCAACAGAATCATTCAAGCATATTTGGGCATGCATCAGCTCGATTTGATGGGCCATTGGGGCAACAAAAAAACTCACCTGGGCCATAGGACCGTCCCTGGGGTTAAAGGTCGGCCCGAGATAATAAGGGCCCTTTATATTATTGTTGTTGTTTGATTGGTCATGAATTCAATGCTCATTGGTGCAATTTTATACAGAAATTTTTGTTATTAAAAAATAAGTAAAAGGAATACACAGTTAGAACTTAGAATGAATGGTAGCAGAGCAGGCCAACTCTAATAGACACATAATAGAGAACTTATATGTCACAAGCTCAACTTTTCACATGTGTATAAGTGCATCGACGATTTCTAAATACAAACGATATTAAAAAAAGATGATTCGAACACAAAACCTCAAGTGCATGGATAAATATGAACAATTCTACGAATTTAGGATTTACTCGAGTCCATGTGTTGGTTGGAGTAGGTAGGTTTCTTTTCTACAAATAAATGCATAAAAAGACGTCAGATTTGGCACAAAATTATTGTAAACATTAACAGCAAAGTTCTCTCTCATGGCTAAAATACAGGAAATACAGCACAGACTTGCCTGGTTTTACACTTGCAGTTGATTAGTGAGTCGCTCTCTTTTGACAACAACCCCACAAAAATAAAACGAATGAATTGCATGGACCCAGAAAAAATAGTGATAGTCTGCCATTTCTATCCCTTTCTTTCTCTGTCTTCTTCTTCTTTTTTCATGCCCACTTCTGCGTAAGGGGGTAGCAGTTGTACATTATAATCATAAAAAAATTACTTACGATAATAAATTATAGAGACAGAGGATAAGCCCGTCGTACGTATTCACGTGGAGAGGAAATTTGGAAATACAAAATTATGGTCTTACCTAACCAAGTGTGACAAATTAATTTTGTGAGTGCATGCATGGTCTGGCTTTTTGGCCACGAAAACATGTAATAATTAATTTAAGGTCTACCTACCAACACTGTTTATTTGCAGCAATGGAAAGTTTAGTGTTAAGTGGGCACGACAAGGTTTGTGGGTCGTACAATTTGGACTTCATATGATTAATTAGGGCACAACAACTTTCTGGACCAATAATTAGTGTGCTATAGAATAAGTGCAGTCATCTACATGCATTGCAAGTCATTAAATCAAACGAGGATGATGAACCCACATTGATATTCGAGTTTCAATTTGATCCTTCAACTTGATTTTTAGCTATTTGGTCATTTAATTCTCGCACGAGTTTCAATTTAGTCATTCTTTTTTCTCAAATTGACAAAATAACTAAATTGGAACACATGCAAGAATTGGAAGATCAAAATGACTCAAAAATGATACTCGGAATTAAGCCCAGTGTGATAAAATAAAATAAAAATCTTAAATTTTAAACACCATGATTGGTTTAACGGATTATGTGATGATATCTAAGTTGGCAGAAATAATTAAGGAAGTATATTTGTGGATGACTAAATAAAAACAGAAGAAATATATACTCGTATTGTATGACAATAATTTGATTGAATGGAGACCCATTGTGCTTTTCCACCTCAGCCTTTTGCTTTATTATTATCCAGATCCCGTACAAGAATGGCCCATTAATAATGGGAATAAACTTTAAAAAATAGTACCGAAAAAACATGTTTTTATATATTTGTTTAAAGGAATGTGTAGTTATTGTCAGAGATATATCAATTGATTATGTGGGTGCAATGCAAGAACAGACAACGGACGTTAAAAGTAATAACAAAGGCAGCACACCACATCGACCAATAACAACCATATTGCATATTAATATTAGGTCAATGGCAATGCGCAGATAAGATTAGATTATCTTCGTTTACCTTGTGTTTTGAGCAAGTTACATCAAATTAATATAGGTTAATATAGGACCTACTAATATACACTACTATAAAATCTCATCATAAGCCACTGATTCATGTTAGTCACATACAACTCGTGGTCAAAAAATATTGGCCGCATATTAAACAAAAATCACATGACTGTGATAGATGCGGGTTTAAGCATTGCCTCTCCTACAATCAAGCAACAGTTACGAGTTCTTTAAATTGAAAAATAATCAAAATTAGCCAATACAACTAGCTTAAATTTTTTGGTTTGGAAATCAACAGTAGCTTAACTAAGATAGATACTGGTGAATGGCAGGTAAATTATGAATGAAGCTATTATTAGGTCATTGTCCAAGATAATAATAGACAAACCCAAACAAAAAACAAACCCCATTTCTGGTTGGGGGTGGCCAAAACTTTTGATCACACTTTAGCTTAAGATAGGGGTACCTTGATCATTGGTAAATGACAAATATCTGAAAACAAAAAGGCCATGGTGGATTTGGCGCACTGTAGGAGTGGTGTGACATCCATATCCACATGAGAAGAAGCACCTGGAATTTAGACATCAACTTTTGGGGAGAAACTACACATGTAATGCGAGCCCGTATTTAGTCCATTTAAATGGCTCATTTTGAGACACACATGTATCAATTTTTTTTAACCAAATCGCAATAGAAAGTCCAAATTGTTTGAGACTTAATCCATCATATTCATATGTCACGACACTTTGCCCCAATGTGCCACTCGTAAAGGAGAGCATCTATATGGAAAGGGCGAGCATGGACAATAGCCTTCACTCGTCTTGATATCACCTATGTTTTTCTTTACCACAATTTCAACGAACCACCATGAGCCATCATGTATGCCAAGTTTTCCGCGGTCAATTTCATGTGCGTGATCTTTTTCCTAATGTCTTCTTAAATTTGTGGTCAAATTTGACCCAATAGTGAAAGTCTTTGGTGAAAATCGAAGACGAAGACTAGGAGGAAGAGACCCAGAAGCACACCCCCGAAGACCATGGGCGGGGAGTGTTGGGTTTTGAGTCGTTTGACGACTTTGTCTGCCGTTTTTAATTAAAAATCGTCGTCAAAGTCTTTTTATAAAAAAAATACGACAACAGTGTGATAGCGTTGAGGTGGCCTTGCCATATACGCGCGTACGACAAACGCACAGATGGATGTGGGCTCCGACGATAGTGGGCCCAGATGGGTCTTCCTCCCGTCGCAACGTGAGGCGCGTAACTTCTAAAGCTCTAGTTTGCTGCAGATTCTAGAAAGTCACTACTCAATACACAACAGATTCTAGAAAAGACAAAAATTAAAAATAAAAAAAATCCACAAATCGAAATTAATGAAAGATGCCATGTAATTCTTTCTACCTAATTTTTTTGTTTTTGTTTTTTTTAAGATGCCATGTTATTTATTTATTTTGAAAGATGCCAATATTCAAATTCTCGCAACATCGAATGTGAAAGTGTCGTTTTACAGTTCGCAAGAGTTATCATCTTTAATATCTTTTCAAAATTTGACATTTCCCCATCCAACGCATTTTTCTTTGTCTGCAATCAGTCAAACAAAGATTTTTCTAAGATTTTTCACGGTCCATATCATAGTTTTTTTTTCCCAATGCAATAAAGTTACATTATATCTATTTTTCATGATTAAAAAGTTTATCTAAACGCTTTAGAGACAAACTCTAGTTGCTAAGAGAGAGAGAGAGAGAGAAAGCTTCTGATTCGGGGGGTTTCGTCGAATTTTCGGTATTTTCCGACTTTAGGTAAACATTTGTCGATATAATCTTCTTTCGGTAGCTTTATTGTTTTGAATCCAGGTTGGCTTTGGTTGTGCCTATTATTGCGAGGCTCTTCTTTGAGGTGTTGCAACGTGGTCATGATATATCCACTGCTCACTAGTGCGTTGAGGTCCTGGAATAACTAAATGACGCTACTCTTGTCATGTTCCGAAGGAAGATTAGGCGGTTGGTTTTCCTTTTTCTGGTGTTGTTTTAGGTTTTTAAATTTAATTTAGTATGTTCAATAAATTCTAAAAACTTTATGAGTTTTCTGTGTTTATTTCCCTCATGATTCTAAAAACTTAGTTGAGTTTGCTTGGTGTTCTTAGTTTATCTAGGAGAGTCATGCCGGTTAGTGTCTAGTTTTGATTCTTGTTGTCATTTGACTAGATTCAGAGAAATTATTGCAGTTGAAAGGAGTTATAGAAAAGTTATTTTCAATAGCAATTTTCTCTAAATCGTTTTAACTTTTCGGCTAACTCAGGTCACTGGAAAAAATTTACCCATGTCTACTATATTGTTATTTGGATGACTTCATTTACAATATATGTCCTTTGTACTCTTTATTCATATTGATTTAATAAAATTTTATCACCTTTTGTCTAAAAAAAATCCAGTTAAACAAATTACATAATGAAGCTTGATGTGTCCTATTTTATATTTTTTCAAATTTCTAAAATACCCCCCAACCCACTTGGAGTTTGACTTGCTATTTGAGTTGTTTTGAATGTTTTTTTGTCTCCATTTAAATGCAAAGAAAAAGTGATTGACTTTCTTTTGGAGTGTGGATGATCTACAACAAAAAAACGAGAGACCTTGGTGTGCACTGATTGTCAAGTATAGTAAATATTGTTGGTTGGATAGATGAATTCTCCATCCATAAATTGGAGCATTTAGGTATGCATTTTGTACCAGCTCGAGATATATAAAAAGCTTCGGCGTAAAAGTGAGTATTAACTATCAAAAAGAAAGTAGAGCACGAGTCAGTTACCCTAGTTAATTGTAGAAAGTCGGAAGCGTGGTGGAGCCATAAATTTTTTAGAGAATGAGGAATATTTGGAAAGCTAAAAGCTCAAAAATAGATCCTCAAAAGTAAATTTAGGTTTTAGCTATAAAAAAAATTTTACTTTTGGAAAAAGTCAAAATTTTTCCGAAAAAGACAGAAAAACCTCTCAATTTTCAAACTAATAACATGCAAATGTAAAGGATTCCTTAGGAAGTCCAAAAATAAATAAGGGCATTTTTGTCTATTTTGGCTCTATAAAAAATATTTCTCTCTCTCTCTTTTGGCCTTTTCCAAAATGCAAAGCCTCATTTAGTCGATATATGATGGGCACTAGCAGAGGAACAGATTCCGGCACCTCCAAAGAATTTTCCTAAGAGAAAAAGATATGCACCTCTTTGCTCCTTAATAGGTTGGCCAAACTACTCTCTTCGATGAATTTCACAATACAAATATAATATTTGGGCTTTTTTAATTTACTTTTTTAATTGGTCTAAGATTCTTAGTACACATTTGAAGTTTTGAATACATTTTTGGTATCCCATGTAGGAACCCAAAGGATATACGTACAACCAAATTTAGAATTTGAAGAAACAAAATCTCTAATGTAGAAGACCCATCAACTGCACCAATGCTCCAAATTAATTTAATGAATTGCCAGTTGACCAAAAAAAAAACTACAAATTAAATCCCAAAAAAATAAAGCAATTTCGCAGAAAGAAAGAATTGAATTACAAATAAGATTGTCTTGACCAAAAAAAAGAAAAAGAATTACAAATAAGATTGTTTTTAATTGTTTGGGGGTCAAGTCCAGTGCCATCTTTACACGATGTTGCACGATTCCACATGTCAAAATATCTTTTGCAGTGGACAAAAGAAAAAAAAAAGAAAATTGAAATGCAGAAACAGAATGCGAAGCACGTGATTCACTCTGAAATACTCATTCTCTGCTTCTCTCATCATTTTCATTCCCCCATAAATTCATGGGAAGCATCCCCTGTTTGCTCTCACTCTCTCAGCAGCAGCAGCTCAGCCCAGACACTGAAGCGAGTACGCTGACCAATCTGTACTCGAGGCGAGTAGCACGCAGATAATCTCCTTCCCAGAAAATCCAGAAATGAATTAAAAAGTTGACAGGTAGGTTTCCCGGTAAAACAAACCCCATCCAAAAATCAATAAATATTTCCCCAACTCTGTCTCTTTGATCAAAATGGAGGTGGAAACTCAGACTCAGACGCTCCCGACCTTCGACAAGCCTCCATTCTCTTCTTTCTCTCTCAGCGACCTCGGTTCTCGCAACTTCCGGGGCTCCGAAATGCCCGCCGTTGACCCCAAATGCGACGCCTCATTCAACGAAGTGGTTCCGTTGACTAACGGCGGGATGATGGCGAGTGAGACTGACGCGCCGACGGGCGGGTGGTCCGTGTCGACGGCCGCTGTGAAGGTTCAGAAGGTGTACCGGAGTTACCGCACCCGGCGTAGGTTAGCTGACACCGCCGTCGTGGCGGAAGAGTACTGGTGAGAGTATACCAAATCTCTGTGCTTGCGCTTTTTTTTCTTTTCTTTTCTTTCCAACTGTTCAGCGTTCACCACACACTCAAATATTATTATTATTTTTATTTTTTTGGAAATTAACTGAAAAATGAGGGGTATTTATGAATTGAAGGTGGCAAGCGATAGACTCTTGGAGATTGAATCGCACCACGATTTCATTCTTTGATAACAATACGACTGAATCTGCGACTTCAAAGTGGAACCGTGTCGGCAAGAATGCTTCCAAGGTACCAATTTTTTATTTTTGTTTTTTGTTTTTTTTTGGTTTTGAGAAATTAAATTTTAATTTCTGGGTTTGGATCAGAAAAGAAAAATAAATTGTGGTAATTTCTCTCTGTTGAATTTTGGTTATGAAGTGAGAGAGAGAGAGAGAGAGAGAGAGTGTGTGTAATAGTGTTGTGTGAAATTTTGGGCAGGTGGGCAAGGGACTCTCCAAAGACGCCAAAGCACAGAAATTGGCTTTTCAGCATTGGATTGAAGCTGTAATTATTTTTCATAAATAAAATAAAATTATTTGGATTTTTTATATATATATATTTAATTCTTGTTTATCATTTGGTTGTCTTTGTATTTACTGAATTGCACTTTGGGTGGGTGTGTAGATTGATCCAAGGCATAGGTATGGGCATAGCTTGCATTTCTATTATGAAGAGTGGGATAAAGCGGATGCTGGTCAGCCATTTTTTTACTGGTAAGTAAAATTACCATCTTTTTTCCTCACTAGATGCTAATTGGCTAAAATAAAAGGGATTTAAAAGAAAAAAGAAAAAGGAAAAAAAGGTTGAAGCATTTGATTACTTGCTTAGGGCCGTTTGATAACCATTTCAATTTTAGTTATTTCAATTTTAGTTTTTAGTTTTCATTTTTTGTGCTAGAGTACTTAGGAAAATGAAAGTGAGAATGTGAGGGAGGATTAGATTGAGAGAGAGGATGAGAGGGGAGGATGGGAGGGAGGAGTAACAAAAGTGAAAACAATTTCGAATAGATTTCAGTTTTTAGTTTTTGTTTTCACTTTTGTTACTCCTCCCCACTCTCATGTTCCCTCTCAATCTCATACTCACTTGTATTCTCCATCTTTTTCCTCGATTAATGTTTGATTTTTGGTTTTTGTTTCTAACTTTTTTCTTTGCAGGTTGGATGTAGGAGATGGAAAAGAGCTTGATCTCAAAGAATGTAGCAGATCAAAGCTTCGACAACAGTGCATCAAATATCTTGGACCTGTACGTTCTTCTATGAATCAATTTAATATAGTTATCAAGTAAATTTTGATACGTGATTTTATGAAACTTGATGTTCTTTATTTTAACCACTTTTCTGCCGCCGTTGATGAATTTAGCAAGAGAGGGTGCATTATGAATATGATGTTGCTGAAGGGCTAATTGTTCATTCACAAACTCGAGAGCTTCTTGATACAAAGGACGGATCGCCAGGAGCTAAGTGGATATTTGTTATGAGCACCTCTAAGAAACTGTATGCCGGTGAGGTAAGAGTTGAACAACACAAGACCTTTCTTTTTTGTTTGACAAAATTCCCGTATTTGAATTCGCTGTTGTTATCCGAAACAACTAATACATTGTTGATTGTTTCCAGAAAAAGAAAGGGGTTTTCCATCATTCTAGCTTCTTGGCTGGAGGAGCAACAATAGCTGCTGGAAGGCTTGAGGCAGAGCATGGAGTTTTGAAGGTAAACTTTTACAGCGGCCATGTTCAATCTCTAATCAAACATAAAAGAATTAACATCCACAACCTCAACCACACGCAATATTTTGTAAGGCAAAGTTCTGATACAGTATGTTGATTTATAGTATCTGATCCTTATGCTTTCACTTGTCAGTCCATCTCTGCATATAGTGGTCATTACCGGCCAACAGATGACAGGCTTGATACCTTATTATCCTTTTTCAAGGAAAAAGGAGTGAACCTTGATGAAGTTCAGGTACTCGTGCATATATGTGATTCTGCAGAGTTTTTATGATAAAATAGCAACCTAGAAAACAAAATCAGGGTTTGACCCAATGTACCCCATTTGAACCCTGGATTGGTCAAAACCTTGATGAGCAAGTATAATGACGGGACTACATTTAAAACGTATTTGATGCATTAATCTGCCTTTTGCTAATGGTATGTCTCAACTATTTTGTTCTCCAGATACGCAAGCCAAGTGACGAATCTGATGGCTATGATGAAGGGAAGTATAATGGTGGGACTACATTTAAACTGTCAACCAACATTGAAGCTCCTAAACCTGAAGTTCCAGCAGAAGTGGAGACGGAGAAATCCCAGTCCCCAGAATCCACTGAACTTCTCCAAACAGAAGCGAAACCTGATTACAAAAGGACTTTATCTGGTGGTCTGCATAGTCCAAGAGCTGAGGTGCCTAAGAATAAGATATTGCAGAGGATCAACTCCAGGAACTCATCAGCGAAATCATACCAACTCGGGCACCAGCTATCGCTCAAGTGGTCAACAGGAGCTGGCCCGAGAATCGGTTGTGTTGCTGATTACCCAGTAGAGCTGAGAATGCAGGCCCTGGAGTTTGTTAACTCTCCAAGGTCTCCCCCCACACCATCCTACTACAGGAGGTTCCCTGGTCTCCCATCGCCAACGTTGAATTCCACCTCAGACGTCAATAATGGCGATAAGACCTCTGGTGATTAAACTGCGCTTATCATGATCATGATCATGATCATCATAATCAGTTTTGTGCACCTTGCCTAATGGATATTTTAGAGACTGTAAATAATTACGTATCTCATCAGCTTCCTGTCAACTCAACTTTTTAGAATGGTTATTGCATTATCTTCTTACTGCCTACTGGTTGTGTTTGGTCCACTATAGTGAAAGGGGAATGTAGGTGAGCCAGGTGAAGTTTGACAATTTTCCCAAGTGGAAGCCCACTGCTTCAACTTACTATCAGATTCACAAATGCTCTTCTTTTTAGAACTCAGCCAAGTGTTTTTTTGTTTAAAAATTTAGTTCTGCTGCTAGCTCATGGTATATATAAATGGTCTTGGGAAATATGGAGTTCGTTCAGTAACACAAGTTATAAAGCATACAGAGGATCATCTGCTGAAGTAAAATTCAGGTTAAAAAAAATGAAGAAGCAATATTTCACGTTTATATATGCAACCCTTGATCTTTTCAGAGCCAATGAAAAACTACATTTGAAAATGTAGCCAATGTATGTGCATTAATCCGCATTTAAGTCACTGCACAAGAAAAAAAGGGCGGAGTGGAGATCACATTAATTTAATCCAATCTACATTTGTATATACATATATATATATTATATAACGATGTTCTACTTTTATCCTAATCTAAACTACAGAAAGGAGTATTCGAACTCAGATGCAGAGTGGCGATCACATCCGCTCTAACCAAAAAATAGAAAGGAACATAGATTAATTGGAAAAACAGAGATAAACAAACGAAGAAATTTCCTTTGGACACTACAATTGGGTTGGGGATTGGGCCAACGAGTACCGAAATATCCCCAATACTTGAGGAAACTGAATGTTAGCCCAAAGCCCGACAGTGCTTTTTACCAAATTGACCCTAGACTTGAAAAAGGTTGTCAGCTCAGCACAACACAACAGCAACCAGTGGGACCCACCGGTCACAGCTGTAACCGTACCTTACCACTTCAGTTCAGCTGTCTACTCAAGCAGTAAAATCTCTGTCTTCATCGCGCGGTTAAAAAAACTCACCTTCTGGCTCCACCGACCTCCACGTATCCACCTCGCCACCAAAATTAACCGCATCGAGAACGCGCAAGACAACAAAGAAATCCACGTGGAGAGCGTCCCCAAAGCCACTTGTGCGGCACCCCCCACTCCTCCCACGTGCGAGGCCACACGAGCACAATCGGCTACGGAGTGAAACGTGGCGTGCGGAGATATATGGAGGTCGATTAGCGAAGGCGTCGTGGCCTGAGGTGGCTTGACAAGTGGCACTCTCTCACAACCCTGCGCTCTTTGCTTTCGAACCAGTAACCCTCTCTCTCTCTCTCTCTCTCTCTCTCTCTGTCTTTCTGTCGCGCTTCACTATAGCTTACCGCGTGCTGAAGAAATAAACCAAGTACACACAACTTTCTCACGCTCAAATACACAAACACTTGCTCTGTGTTTGTTTCCTGAGCGGCAGGAGCCATGGTTTCTTCCGAACGACGGTCGTTTTCGAGCTCGACTGGCTCCACGGCGGCGGCTTCGTCATCGTCGTCTTCGTCTGGCTCTGCGACGGGCGTTTCGGTGGATAGGTTTGGCGGCGCGGCGGATCGGATGGTGAAGGAGGAGCTCGAGGCGGCGGAGGCGCTCGCGGATTTGGCGCATTTGGCGATGCGGGAGAGTAGCGGCGCTGAATCCGCGGGGAATTGGGGGCTGAAAGGGAAGCGGGCCAAGAAGCGAGTCAAGAGCGAGTCTCCTCCGGGTCATTTGGGTTTGAACCCGGTTGACCCTGTTCCCACCTGTCCGGATCTTCCTCAGGTTTGTTTGTGAATGGTTTTTTTTTAATTTTAGCACCGTTATTGTCATTATATTTATATGATTATGGAGATATTTTATGTATCCATTTTAAAAAGAGACTTTTTATTCGTTGGATAATAAAAGAAAAGAGTAACAGAAGAAATTTTACTTGAATGGGATAAATTCAAAGATTCGGCTGAGTGAATGCTTTATGAAACAAACAATGGACTTATTGGCGGAGGAATGGCTCCTTACCCATTTGGGGTTGTTTCAGAGAAAATAAAGTAAACAACTTTGGAATTGGGTAATAGCATTGTCACCATTTAGTTTTAAGCATTGATTCTAAGTTCAAAAAGCGTAAAATGTTTTCAAAGTAAGCTCACCCTTTTTTAGAAAAGAATTGTAGTGGTTGATAAGTGCGTTTATATCAACTTATTTTTGAACTTTCTGCGCATTGAAGGCTCGATCCAAATGTGAGTTTTCGGTAGTTCAGTTACCAAATGAACACTGGTGGAGCCAACGAAGGCTCAGGAATGTCACTTGACCCTTCTCAACTTTCAAATTTGGTCATAATTCATATATGTATTTTGATTTTTATGTATTATATCCTTTGTTTTGACCCTTCTAGTCCATGTGCAAAACCAAACAAGTGACCATTTATCAATTTTCTTTTGAGTACTTATTTTCTTTTTGGCTTATTGTATGTTATGAGTTGAGTTGTTTATTGGTGACTTTTTAAAAATGTCAAATTATGAATATTGTAGTTTATAAGATTCCAACGAGATTTCTAATGATTTATGAATCAATACAAAGAATTTTGTGTTAATAGATGAGTTTATTATGTTTTTCTTTAAACTTATAGCTATTTAAGCTTGAACCCCCATGACAATGTTTCTGACTCCACCCAATCCAAGCAACGAGACAAGAAATTTTAAACATTGATATAAATGTAACCATTTGAATGCATATATGACCAGAATTTAATGATATTAAAGTCAGGATAGGAGACAAACGACGTACATGGTAATGGGGCCGAGTCCATGGCTTGTTCGGCTAGAATCCTTTTTCAAGTATGCAAATTACATCACCATTAGGATTTGTCCAAATACGGTTAGCCAGTCCAATGATATTTGAGTAAAATTATGTGAAGTGTGCCAAATTTACAACGGCGGAGGGTGTGGTATTCTGTTAAACGGTGACGTCAATACTCCAGTCCAAAATAAGTTTATCGACAAATGTACTAAAAACTCATGCTATCCAATCTCCCAAATAAAACGGGCTCTGTCACCAAATCACACTATTTTCTGCAGGACTTGATGAATTTTTTTATTTTTATTTTATTTTTGATATAGCAGGACCAAGCAGTAACAGGTCTGCGGCAATGTGAAACGGTTTGCACAAATGTTGTAACAGGACCGCTGAAGACCGAGCAGGTTCTGAGCAATGAGATTGTGAAGGCTGAGCATGATGCTGAAGTAACAAAGTTAAGTCCAATTTGCACTACAAGTTACCCATCATTCAGTTGCAGCAAGTCAAGGCGGAATTTAACTGAGGTACTGAGCTTTTAAACTTCTTCCCGCTAAAGTGATGTTCTGTGACTACTTTTTCTTTTCTAGTTTTAATTAATGTTTACCTTGTTCAGGAGGAGAAGGAAGAGCGGAGAATACGCAGAATATTGGCCAACAGAGAGTCAGCCAGGCAGACAATTCGTCGGAGGCAGGTAAGCTGATGTTACTCTACTTATTGCATATCAAATTTTTTTTTTCTTTTCCCGGGAGTGTTTAAGAGGGATGGGGAGGAGATTTTATGACTATCAATATGTTCTATATATATACTCAATATGGTAAAGGTTGCATTTGTTCCTTGTATTTAATTCAAGTCTGTTGACGTCATTGTGTCTTTTCATTTTATCGAATGGTGAACACCGAGAACAATGTTCTGCTAGATAGTTTTTGCTATTTTATGGCTTGGAAAATTGTGAAAGCATTTTGACACTACAGGCAACAGGAGTATGGGTTCAATTCCCTATAATACAAGCTTCTGTTCGGTAATTAGGTTATACCAGTTATTCTATACAAAACCATTTTTTGTGCTTCCGTAATGTATCTACTCCTGTCCTAGGATCCAGAGATTATTTTTTGTCTTTTTTTTTTTGGGCTTTAAGGTATTGAGTAAATTTCTGCTTTGGGTTCATCAAAAAATTTCTGCTTTGGGATCCTGGAGAAATGTGGTTGTTATTCTCCCCTGTCCTATACTAATCATTTATCACAATTGAGGGCCTCCTTGCATTTTGCAGTCTCAGGAATAACTAAATGATATGAATGTGTGTATATGTGCTTTTGTAAAATAACATATTGGATTGTAGTTGCTGTTCAAGTAATGACTATCCTAACCATAATATGACACTGCACCATGTGTCACTGAGGTAGTAAATTAAATGAGCCACAAAGTGCATTGTTTTTTTACACTTTTTATCTTTTCCTTTTTTAAAACAATAGATCTTCATGAGTTGTGTTTGTTATTCTCAAATTGCATGGTATGTGTCCAGTGCAGATTGCATTCTTGGCCATCGGACATTTAGACTTTAGCAAATTATGCATCTTTCCTTGTTCTACAGGCTCTGTGTGAGGAGTTAACCAGAAAAGCTGCTGATCTGGCATTGGAGAATGAAAATTTAAAAAAGGTAGGCATTAGTCCCCAATTATTTCTTATAAACTTGCTTTTCTTTCAACTCCTCTCTCTCTCTGTCTCTCTCTCTCTCATCATGACAATGCTAACTTTATTCACATTTTTGGTGGCTTTTTAAATGAGAAGAAAAAGGAGTTGGCCTTAAAGGAGTATCAGTCTTTGGAGAAAACAAATAAGCACTTGAAAGTTCAGGTAAGATATGCCTGACATTGAAGAGATGTTTAACCTTAATAAAATCTCTAATGCTTGACATGCTCTCTCATTTTGCAGATGGCTAAGGTGATAAAGGCAGAGGTGGAGGAAAAGCCAGGTGAAAATATGTCAGCCTGTGTGCAGATGCAGATACCTCCTTCTTCACCTAGTAATTCCCCATTATTCTTGTTTAACCGTCCACCATTTACACCAGTTTTTTGGCCTTCTATCATTCAGTCTTCAAATTCCATTCAGTTGCAACATGTATCACAAAATCCGATGGCCATTCCATCAAACATCCCTTTGCCAGCTAATGGTACAGCTGATTCTTCTCATGAACAAGAAAACCCCTTGACCAATAATGGAACAAGAACTCCTTTATATGTATTTCCGTGCCCTTGGTTCATCCCTCATTTTGATAATGGGAATGGACTCCAATCCCAGTCCTCCTTGTGCCTGAACAATAAACAAGAAGAAACTTCTTTTAATAACCAGTACAGTGCTAGTTCATCTTCAAGAACTGTTGCACAGTTAGACAACCACCATTGCTCTTTCCCTATTAGATTAAAAGCAGAAGCTTCTGGCTCGATGGAAGCCAGACTTTCAAATGATCTTAATGAAACGCCAGCTCAGTTTCCTCTGGATGGAGCCGATCAGCATACAGGACCTTATCCTAAGGAAAATGGTCCTAAGGAGATATTCCTTACTCCTGCATCAGTAAACCATGAAAGAGTTGCATCTAGTATCAAGCATGAGAATGCGTTTGAGTCAGATTACACCGCAACAACTGAAAAATCTATTCATATGTTCTCTGCCTTGCCAGAGAAGAATAATGAACCAATCATCTACCCTAACAGGAAACTGGCGGATGCAATTGCTGCAGCTGAGGCGAGAAAGAGGAGGAAGAAACTCACAAAGCTAAAGAATCTTCAAGGCCGGCAGTGTCGGGCGCACTGTTGAGCTTTAAAACCCAAGTGCAGGTTAAGAGATTCTCTCCTGGTTTTCATGCAGGTCCTTTTATTTGAAGGACTTCTTGGAGATTGAGTCAAGAGCAGATCACCTAACCTTAATTATAGAAGGTTATTGAGTCATTGACAGAAAAGATGTGTGCCTATAATTTGGGTACATCTTTAAGGCCTTTACTTTTACTTTATATGTTGTTTCAAGGTGTGGACGGAGACTGGAAATTTTGTACTGCCTGTCAGTATGTATGGGTAGCTTTTCATTATCAAATCATTGAGAAGCAAATGGTAGTGGTAGTTTGAGAATGCATAATTTTCAAGAATGCCTGATCACTGGGAATCATAATGAGGAAATGAATGGTGTCTTAACAAACCAGTCTTGCATTTTCTGCTACGCCTAGAGGCAGCAGCATTCAGCAGAGGAGTGAAGGTAAGAACCCGAAATTTAATTTTGACAGTTGTTTTGTAAGTTTGTGATGTGAGTTGCAAATACGTCTTGCAGGAAATCAATAAAACTGAGTTTGAGATGCTGGTAAATTAATCCAGTTCCTTCGTGCCTTCTGCAATTCCGTTTAATCTTACACAGGAGATTATTTCTTAAATTCTTTGGCAAAATTATGTTCTTCTCGGTGACCATATAGTTGGTTGCTGTAGCAATTCCCTGCCAATGCCAAGCGTAGGTTATCTTGGTGGATGGATCTGAACTGTTAGCATGCATATGGACAGTATACGTATCTGAAATCGCAAGAAACTGTCTCATGATAACCAAATGTTTATTTACAAGGGACAAATGTTCTAATAGGAAAAAGAAAAGAAAATGTTGGTTAAAGAAACCTAACTGGGATCCCTGTACAGTGTGATCAGGCTCCTAACACTGTGTTTATGATCATCCCACTCAAGTAAAGCAGACACAGGCACCCCAGCAGTTGGTGTGCCACCACTCACCACAACCTTATAAGACCTCTTCTGATGCGACCGAGTGAATTTCAAGGTACTTGGTGTGACTGTTATAGAAAAGAACTTTGGCATAATCAGCTTTACTTTGTACACTGAGCTACCATACCCTACGTTCGTTACTCTTCTATAGAAGACAGCTTTAACTGAAGTGTCCTTTGCTTGTTGATGTAAATGCATGCTTGGATAGTTGAGTCCGTCTGTGCCTCGAGGAGGCTTATAGTCAGAGCAGCTAACGTTCTTTTTGCCTCCAAGTATGCCAATGTTGGTGCTGTTGTAGCCTTGCTTGCACAAGAAGCTGATATAGTCGTCCACTGTGATGTCATAGATGAGCCCGGGATGCGCTGCCTTTTTCGGGTTTACTTGTCCTGCTCCTGTTCCTAGTGTGTTGCCTCCAACTCGGGTATTAATTGGCGTGGCTAAATCAGAGGGAGTGAAAAGATTGGTTAAGTCGTTGTTTGATGAACTTGATTTTCATAAAGTGTGGTTTGGGAAGACTAACCAGTTGTCATGAGAGCTGACTTGATGGCGGCGGGTGACCAGTCTGGGTGGAAGGACTTGACATAAGCGGCGGCAGCGGTTACATGAGGGCAAGCCATGGATGTACCTGACATCATATTGAACAAACTGAACCGCTTGTCTTCTGGGTCACCAGATATGGATGCCAGACGTGAATATGCCGCTAATATGTTTATCCCTGGTGCTGAAATATCAGGCTGTGCATGAAAATTTAGTACCTAATTGTTGTGGAGAGAGAGAGAGAGAGAGAGAGAGAGAGAGAGAGAGAGAGAGAGATTTTCATCATCTTATGTACCTTGAGGATATTGGGGGTTATCCGTTGAGGTCCTCTGGCTGAGAAAGAAGCAATGTTGGGGGCGTCTGGAGTTTTGACGGTTCTTGTTTTGTATATGACAGCCATAGGGTTCCTGCAATTAGTTCATACCAAGCCATAAAGCAGCTTAGTGTTGAATAAAAACAGTTCCTCATGATAAGAAGTCTTTTTAAATTGAAAAGGAAAAAAAAACAGTTCTTAGTAAGCTACACAAAGATCATACTTGGTAGAGTTAATATACTGATCAATCTTGATCCCATCCTTGACAAGGATACCAGTACCGGGGATCACCGGAGAATAGGCGTAATCTTCCAATTCATATTGTGTCATGAGAGTTCCGGCACCCTGCAACCTTTGGATGGTGAAATCCTGGCCACTAGACCCTAGGCAGTACACAATCCTTCCCTTCACCTTGTCCGCGTTTAAAGTAGAACTATCACAAGCACTGCCATCATCTCCAAATTAATTTATCATAGGATATTATTATCCAAATGCATTTGTCAAAGTTCTAACAAATATTCGAAGTTTTTTTTTTCCTTCTTTGTATAAGCCCAGCATATGTGCGTTGTCCTTCTCACAATATGTATGTAGATCATCTCGTATATATAATGATAGGTCGTCCCACATACAAATTGTGAGAGGAATGTCACATGTGACGGACAACACAATAATTTTGCCAAAATACAGACCTTGCATTTCCATAGCTGTTTTCACTCTTGTTGGATGCCAGGGTTCCACTTGTAAGAGGGTACATTTGTTTCTTCAATGTGTAGGTATTGAGTGCATTCCCCTACCAATAAATGAACAATGCAGTTAACTCAGACTGCATGATATAATCATATAATTCTCTGTTCTCAGAGAGAGAGAGAGAGACACTTACAGAAAATCTCTTCCCATTACCCAACTTGACTACTGTCTTTAGCTTCCTATCAATTGTATTAGCAGCCACTGTGGTAACCCATGGTGCTACATTCTGGACAGTGCCTTCACTAGGCCCATCATTCCCAGCTGAGCATGAAACAAAGATCCCTTTTTTCATGGCATGAAATGATCCAATGGCAATAGGATCTTCCCAGAAACTCCTCGAGTGACCGCCTATGGAGATGGATATCAAGTCCACTCCATCAGCAATGGCTTCATCGAACGCGGCCAGCATATCGATGTCACTGCAGCCATTAAAGGGCCAGCACACTTTGTACACAGCGATACGCGACAGGGGCGCACCACCTCGTGCAGTCCCTTTCGCAATGCCGTATACGCTGGCTCCTTGGACGGGTATACCAGCAATGGTGGAGGCAGTGTGAGTGCCATGGCCTTCATCGTCGACTGGACTTAATTTGCCTGGCCAAGGATGGTTGGAGTCCAGATTAAAATATTTGGCACCAATTACCTTGCTGCACAAGAAAGGGCAAAAAGTCAAAGTTCTCATCAATCATTAAATTTATGAGACTGTTCATAGATTAATTTCACATATGCTTGTACTATTTGATCTTAGGCACAAAACCCAAACTTGCAATGAAATTATGTTGTGTCGTGTGAGAGAGACATACTTGTTGCAGCCTTTGAAGTTGTCACCCTTGACACATTTGCCTTTCCATTTAGATGGGGGAGGCCCAAAACCTGTATCATTGAAACTGGGACCATCCAAGTAAATTCCTACAATACACAGAAAATAAAAGGGTCATCAATTTCTTCGCTTCACTGTTGTCCCGCAATAAGAGTGACAGATTTTACCAACCTGTATCCAAAACACCCACTATGATATTGCTCTGTATTTGAGCGTTCCCTTTCTTTAATTTTATTGGCAGTCCTAGGAAATCCCATGACCTTGTTGTATGTAGTTTGCGCATAGTGTTTGGAAACACTGATACAACACTATCTTCCTCTACAAATTAATGAAAAATCATAAGATCAAAAGCAAGCGTCTAAAATTCTGGTAATTAGAATTCTACTAAGACAAGTATGTACAAGTGTGTGTGTGTGTATATATATATGCACCTGCTAGTGCCTTTGCTTCATGTGGCAACAATCTTGCCGCGAACCCATTGAAGGTCCTTCCATAGCTATGAATTCTTGATGCTCTGGCTATTTCTTCACTGAAATATAAAAGCAAATTATTGGTCGAGTATAATATTTGTCTCGCTGGGATGTATTGATGACCTTTGGAAACAAACACTGCTCAGAGCTCACTGTTACGGACGAGATTAAACTACAAATGTATACAAAAACTTTGAAAACCAATGGTAGGAAGAAACTGGCCATTACTCTCCGATTGCTTGCAGTAGCAGGTTATGGTGTCTGGCCATGGCGGAAGTTTCTGCTCCTGGCAGTTCTCCCATGTACACAATGTAAGGCTGTTACAGTACAATGCCGTGTTACTTTGTCAATAACAATGTAATTTATAAAAGTATTTTCTTGTGAGACAGTCTTACATGCTATGTTGTACTTCCAATTAAAACCGTTAATTAGGTCATATCACATAGGAATAAGCATATGATCTTGATTGAAAGTCTGACAAGTGACGAAAGCAATGGAAAATTTATCATCTGGAACATACCTTCCTAGCATCGAAACCATCCTGAGTTGTTTCTTGAGCCAACGTAGCTACAACATAAGTACTGAGTACGATCACTAGTAGATTTGGTAACGTCCTCATTGTATTGCAATTTAGAAAGAGCTCACTCTCTCACTCTCACAACACACACATGTGAAAGGAGTGTTGTTTAGCTATAAATAGAGGAAGAGGAAAGAGCTTCATGAGTGACAGTGCTTCTTCTTAATGCATGCAGCAGCCTCTCTCTCTCTCTCTCTCTCTCTCTCTCTCTCTGCGCAAAATATGGTGAGAGAGTGATGGTTTGACTGTTGAACAAGGAAACAAAGTCTTTGAGTCCACGGATGAGAATTTGGCGGCTTGGATTTTGGATCTTCTTAGAAATAGGAGGCAGGTAGGTGGCTAGGTTGATCATATAGAAACGTGAATGCAACACTCATATTAAACTGGCGACTCGTTCACAAATTACTGTCGCGTCCTTTAAGTGTGACAATTTTCAAGGTTTTGAGTTGATCAAAAGGTTATGCTAACAACTTTTATTTTCCCTTTAATGCCGCTTATCAAAATAATTAACGAAAATGCGTTAACACAACCACCCTCCTAACTACGATTAATACTGATCATGTAATTCATGGAATGTACTCCTTTAAGCACTTCATTT